CGGCGGGAGTGAACGGAGCTCGGGGCGTGGGAGCCGACGCCTTCGCAGGAGTCTAGAAACAGTCAAGTCAGTAAAAAGTCGACGACAAGAAAAAGTCGCGACTCACCGAGTCAGATTTCTTCTTGGCCGCCGCAACGGACTTTTCTGCCTTCTGAGCCTTGAGCTCGGCCTTGGCCGCAGCAACACTCCGCTCGCGACCAAGGGTCGCGGCCACCCTGCCCAACTCACTGCGTGGAGTCTTGGTAGTGGCGGGGGCCGCCTGGGCAACCTAGAAAAGAAAGAAAAACGAGTTAGTCGACGTCTGGGAACCAAGGTCTGTGTCTCACCTTAGCCACTGGGGTCGGGGTAGTCGTCGCTCGCGGGGCGCTCGCCTTGCGACTGGCCTCCACCTTCGGCACCGGTTGGGGAGGCACGGACTTGGTCGACTTGGACGATCCCTCCGCGACCTTCTTGATTGGCTAAAAAGCTGGATTAAGGGGCGTGGTCTGGAAAAAGGAGCCGGCTCACCTTGGGCTTGACGCGGGTCTCACTGACCTGCTTCTTGGCCACAACGAAGTCACCGGTCTCCTCCCCACTTTCGGAAGTGTCGTCCATGACGATGACGGACGGGGCTACGAAAGTATGAGTAATCGACAGAGGGGGCAAGAGGAAGAACGCACTCAAATTCGATCGCGCTTTCCCCTTGGACTTGGGCCCCTGTCAAAAACAAACCAACCATGAGACGAAGGAATCGCGATCGACGAACTGGGTCACTTACCTGAAGGGCCAGCTCGTCGGCCGATGACGCGTCTCCCTCCTGGACCCCCTCGTCGTCGACATCCATCGCAGTGTCGGCGACGGCGGCGGCTTCCTCATCGCTGAGGGACTCGGGTTGCACGGGCTGTGCTTGGATCCGGGCTGGGAGGGACCAGGTGGTTAGTCTAAAGATCAATGAAATAAGACATAGGATTACACACCTACGTGCGTCTTCTTGTGAACGCGCTTGGGAAGTGACCCCTGTGGAATAGGGACCGAGGTAGCGGCTACGACAAGTCAGTACCCGCGACTCTGGTGAATGAAAGGAAAGAGCGACTTACGAGTAGGCGCGTGGGACGACGCCTTGGGCTCCTTTGCAGGAGTCGCCTTGGGTCGCTTCCCCTGCGACTTCTCGCTCGACTTCTTGGCGACGGCGACCTTGCTGCCCGCGACGGCGGCAGGGGCCTGCGGCTTGGAGCCGTCACCCTTCCCCTTCTGCTTGGCAGGCCGGGACGACGAAGGGGCGGCGACTTGTTCGGTTGGAGCCGCCTGGGGGTCGATCAGAACATAGTGAACGAATGAAACAGATTACACGTACGGGTTCGACGACTCGTTTGCGTTTCTTGGGCGGCGACGACTCCTCGACTGGAGCGTTGGTGGTCAAGGGCGCAGGCGCCGGCTAGCCCTTACGTTAGTGAAAAGAATGGAAGGCCAAAGCGAACAGACGCGGCAATCATTGATCGCCGTGGCTATTCGCTCCAGCGGGCTTAAGACGGAGCTCACCTGTTGGATCTGGCGGACGTCGACGGCCATCTGCCGCAACATCTGGTTATAGGCCTCGGGGCTAGGCAGGTGGTGAGTTGAGTCGACAAGCCATGGGAGAGACCTTGACGGACGGCATGAACTGCCGCCAGTCGATGGCAGGCGGGTTTGCTCCCGGGACAGCTGATTCGGTGACGGCTGATGGACGGTTAGCGTGGTTGAAAAGTCGCGGTAATCGTCCTGGGCGTCACTCACGGTTGTTGTCTTGGGGGCGGGGGCTCTGGTCGGGCGCGGACATGGTGGTCAAAAGGCAAGAGTGTCTCGTACTAGGGAGACTCTCGACCCTGAAAATTGAGGGCATTTATATGGTGAACATGCCGGAAGAAGTTTGATCGCGGCAGATCACGGAAGGAACCGAACAACCAAATGAATAAGACGTGGGAACATAACTCTATGTCTCCGCGGCTTTAATAATAAATAAACGAGACGTCGACTGTTGGACTTAGACCTGACGCAGTGAGACTGTCGCGGGATTGACCAGGAGGTCAAAATTAGTGTTCCTGGGAGATGATAGGCTGGCTACCAGACGCGCTCTGCACCAGCTCTGTAAGGGCGTATTTTTGCGCTTTTTACAGAGTTTACTCTTGAACCATTCGGTGTATCGTGTCGCGGTTGACAGTGTTGCGCTCAGTAGGACTTAAGGGTCTACTGCCCAGTCGACGACTGTGGATAGTGTCGACGATAGCAAGGCAGTCAGACCACTACTGTGGAACTGGTCTTATGGGTCTACACCAGGCTCAGGGCCATTAGTGACGAACGCTTGGACCGCGACCATTCCCCAAAAAGGGATCTGTCGTTGCGTCGACTTCTCGAAAAGGGTCATTCTCTGCAGATGGGAACTTGGGCTGAAGGGCTGAGCAATGCGCGACGTTCTCAATAATAGAACTACTACTGGACAGGACTTGGCGTTACGAGACTTAAACCATCTTGTCGCGGCAACTCCCGGTTTTGAGTTGGACGTTTCCTCAGATCATGCCACGACGACGACTTGTCACATGTCAGGATCCATTCGATCACGGGACATTGTGGACGCGTCGCGGTGACACTTCCAAGTGTCACGGCGAGTCGCGACCATACCCAAACACACTAGAAACCGACACGGCTAGATCCGTGAACCGAACCATGTGGGGGACGACTGGTGTGCCTAGGGCCATACGGCTTCTTGGGGCGCCCACGTTGGTCTCACTTGCCAAGACATACCCGTTGGCCAATCCAACACGTCGTATTCCAAAAGTATGACGCGGTGGGTTGACCCACATCAAAAGTATCATATGGACAATGGGGCGGGGTCCTGATCACTCAGGACCTGTCCGATCGTTCAACTTTTCAATTGCCCTAAAAGGCAACCGATCTTAGATAGCGTAGCTACTATGCAGTTGTACAGGACTTTACTAAGCAGCGTCGTAGACAGTATAAGTAGCACGTCGTTTCTTTGTATTGGAAAGCTTTTCCCCCGGACTGTGAATCACTCTCATTTCAGATTGTTTTGTACAATTTGCGTGCCGCGTGATTCCACCCTAAGAAGTTCTGCTACCCCTGCCCGGTCGCGACGAGTTGCTCCCTGAGCACTTGTAGCTACTGTGATTTGAGTCTGAGTTGAGACATCGGAAAGTCGGATTCGCCGCATCTGGTTTAGTCGCGGCATTTAGTGTCGTCGCCTTCGGGCTTTGTTGAGATCGTTCCACACCTCTAGCTTGGCAGTGCGTCGACTAGTTGTGCTCGGGTTGTTTTGGTCAGTTGGCAGCGCGTCGACTTGAGAACTTTGGTTCCACACTTCTTGCTTGGCAGTGCGTCGACGAGTTGTGCTCGGGTTTTGGACATTGGATATTGGCTGTTAGTTGGCAGTGCGTCGACGCGGCATTTCGGTTTACTAGTTGGCAGTGCGTCGACTCAGTACTTTTGGTTGTGTCAGTTGGCAGTGCGTCGACTCGACATTTTGGTTTACTAGTTGGCAGTGCGTCGACTCAGTATATTGGTTGTATCGGTTGGCAGTGCGTCGACTTGATATTTGGGCTTTGCGTCACCATCTAGACGCTGTCGCTACAAGGGATCTTAATACTTCGTATTAAGCTCTGACTTGTTATATTGTTGTTGTGGATTGGATTAGTGTTGGTTGTGATCGTATAGAAGATATTGGTTGAGACACCATTGTTTGCTATATATATATATCCTTGTCGTCGACTCCGTCTCCGCGACTATTGGATCTGCGTCTATTGAGAGTTGTGATACTGGTGCTCTGTCCTCCCCGAAGCCCTCGCATCTTTCACACACTGAGAAGCTGATTACGAGGAGTGTGAACGTGTTTTATATTTGGGTTTACTTTCATAGTAGATTCACTTGTGAGCACGCCCTCAGCATTTCAACGCATGCGCAGCTTCGAGTTCCTTCCGCCGCTCAAGCTGCTCCTTTCGACGCTGGGCTTTGACGGAGACAGAGAGTCTGCGCCGTTTTCGCTTGGGAAGTGCTCGAACCCGGATGATAGCCTCCGGTGGAGCATCGGTGTGAACAGGTTGCGGTGTCTTTCGGATGTGCGTCTCAGATGTCGATGGTGGGTCATCCGTCTCAGAATCCTCCAATTCCAGGTCTTTCAAGCCGTCATATTCCACCAGATCCGATACATCCGAATCGTACACGAAGATTGGAGATGTGGGGCGTGAGTCCGAGGGAACGGGTGTGGGTTCTGGTTCAGGCACAGGGGGCTTGGGACGAGGTGCGAAGAATTGTCGCATCATCTTCGCGGGCGCGCTGGGAGTGGCAATGTCAGAATGACAGTCCGAGGACGAGATGCGCATTCAGAGGCGTACCTGTTCCGTGTCTTTGCGTCCTCCTCTTCCTGCTTGCGAGCCTTCCGAATCGTCTCGTTGGTCCAGCTCCTCGACTGCCCATTGTATCCCAATGCCCGGTTCTTCTCGACCTTCTTCCACTCCTTCGCACTCATGTCGGACGCCCTCTTTTTCAGCACCTCATTGACATTCCTCTCCCTCATCCCGCCATCCTCGCCCTTCTTGTCGCTCTCAATCATCTCCAACGTCTCGTGCGGGAGCAGCTCCACAATATCGTCGTCCTCTGTGTCTTCCGGCGGGTTCGATACAGGCTCCAGTGTCAATTCCTCCAGGGCGTCATCATTGTCCTCGATGTCCAGGAGGACAGGTACGTGGTCGACATCGAGAGTGGCGTCATTATTGACCGTTCCATCCCACAGGCATTTGCCACGATCCGTCGCTGCCGCAAGCTCGAGCACTCGTCGCTTGATGGCTTTGGCGGCTCGAGCGAGGCCGGCTCTTGCCCTCTGGGCCACGGTACCGTTCCCCATGCTTGAATGCGTTTATCGAGTGGACAGGAATGAGCGCGAGATTCAAATTTGAGTGATGACTACAGTCTATTACGTGTACTTAGGTCTTAGGGTTAGGTTTAATTTCGATCCAGCCCGGATTCCGGTCCTGTCACAAAGTGGCAGTGACAAGGGCACGTGCACCATAGCGGGAAGGGAGCTTGCGTTCCCACTTCTCCTTACGGACTCGTGGGATTAGAGGGGGAGCAGGGTGTACGTCTATTGCTTCAACTGTTGCAGAGTGGAGGGAATTGGATTCATCATACAAACAGGAGAAACAATTACGTGAAGCGAACGAGGGCATACTACTCACTCGTTGCTGGGGAGAAAACCCTGCTCCTCCTCGGCTGCAACGTTGGATGCATGATCCGCAACGGCTGCAGTGGTCGCAACCTGGGCAACCAACTCAGAGAGCAACTCACTTCCCAGCTGGTTGATGACCTCATCAAGGACATCAGTGTGACAGATATCAGCTGGGGTGGGGCAGTCACGGGCAAGATGGCCCGGACTGCCGCAGCGGAAGCAGGTGCGACAAATGTCACCACGGAGCCGGGTCCAATCCAACTCCATGGGGATGGGGTGGGCAACAGGAGCCGGCGCCGGGCGAGCAGCAATTGCCGGCGCTACAGCAGGGAGCACCGGGGCACGAGGACGAGGGACGATAGGAGGCGCTCGGGGGGGAGGGACGTGGCCTCGAGACGCCTTGGCAGCTTGTTCCGCATTGTACTGCCGGAACGCACGGACACGCCACTCGGCGTAGTCAGTGAGCCTGGGAGGGTTGCCAGAGGTGGTGATAGCCTGGTTGATCTTCGGATCCAGGCCCGTCCTATATTTGGTCACCTCGACCAGATCGTCGGTATAGCCGGCGAGATCAAGGAGGTCGTCGTATTCGTCCGTGTACTTGAACACATCACGGGAGCCCATATAGTACAGATGGGTCTCCAGTCGCGCAAGGGCGTGGTCTTGCTCGTTCTCCTCGACAAATCGGAGCTTGAACTCGGTGACAAAGAGAGCCCAAGTAGGGAACGGGAATGGGGTGCGCTCGGACATGCGCTCGGACCAGGAGGCCGCGGAGTCCTTGGACATGTAGGACAGGGCGAAGCGGACTACCTTTTCTTCCGAGACTGCCCCATTCACAAAGAACGCCTCAGGAAGCAGACACCAGTACTGCTTCACTGAATGCAAGAAGCTCTTGCCCAGGGTGCGATCCCCATCGAAGGAGAAGGGAGGATTCGGACGGATAAGGGGGCGCGCAGGGCTGGCGCCAGTAGAAACACCTGGACCCGCTGCCGGAGCTGGAGCAGGGGCAGGGGCAGGGGGTTGTTGTTGTTGAGAGATGAGGCGGGTGAGTACGGCCTCGATGTTCTGTATGCTGGTCTCCAGAGCAGACAGCCGCTGCTGTTCGTTGTCATCCATGCTCATTGGGTCTGCTCGTGGAGGGGAGGAGGGGGCAAGATAGGAGGTGAGGGAGTGGTGGTCTTGGTCGCTCGTCGACTCTTCTCCACTGGCGTCAGCATCGAACCTCGCAATCTTGTCCGGTTATCCCTAGCAACACGGTTTCTGCTGTAAGGGCAACCTCGAGACCTGATCTCAGAGTTCTGGCAAGGGAGAATCCAAAGGTGATTAATAGTGGTAGCTAGGTACAAGACCGGCATACCTGGCAAGGGAGAATCCAAAGAGGAACCGTGTTGGGGATTCTCCTTGCCAGGCGCCACTATTTATATGATACAAGAACAATGGAGCACGCAGCGACAAACAAAGAACAATGGGGACAATAGGAACAATGGGGCACCTGGCCATGTGCCCATCAAGGAGAAGCGCTCGGCGCGGCAGTCCGGGCCGCGGCACGTGACAGCTGACAGGTCACGCGAGCGCAATCACATGCCTGATCGAAGGCAGAGCGGTCCGAAACGGGGATTCCCCTGACACCTTGTTGTAGTATCTCTCCAGTTTCGTCAGACCGGCAGTAAGCGCTGGCTTGAATTCGGCGTATGATGGCTTTTTTGACTGACGCATCCACTTGTCATGCATCTTTTCAAGTGCAGGGACAACGAGATGGATGCAAGGACCCTCGTCAGATGAGAAGGCTTGCTGGCATCGATCGGCAGTCTGGAAAACAATTCAGCTCTAGCGTGAGGTCAGGATTTGCCAAACGAATTTACCTGGAGAATGGCAATAAACTGTCAAACGTGTTCCCACTCGCAACTAGTCAACAGCATCTTACGAATCTTTGCAGCTTTTTCGGGATTCTTTTCGGCGCGAGCTAGTTTGAGAACGAACTCGTCAACAAACTGGAACACAAGATGTAGTTAGGACAGTCAAATCTGAGCGAACAGTGACACTGACCTCACAGAGAGTGAACGACCGATAGAGCATGGCTTGTGTCGAAGACCAACGAATTACCATGTCGAGGATGAGCTGGTAGACAACGTCCTCCTTTGCCTTCTGCTGGAGAAGCCGGAACATCTCCTTCCTTTGTGGTGAGGAGCGTTCCTGAAAATAGTCAGGACCACAAGCGATGCAAAAAAGAACAATCAGTCACCTTGACGCAGATGGCGCGCACAATCCCGACCACGTCGCGGAGAATCTCGTCATCATACTCATCGTGATCATCAAAATTAGGCATGTGCACCTCGGGATTGTGAGGGTCGTAGCACTTGGAGGAAGAGTACGTTGTGATGATTGCCTGGGTGGGGAGATTGACGATGTGCGCAAGACATCTGAATGCAGCAGGTAAGATGGTGCAAACGCACGCATAGAGAGTATGACGCACCTGAGACAACGAGCATCAGAATCATACTGACGGTCCGTTTTGAAACGTATATGGAACCCAAACTCCGTCATCATTGTGTCGTTATTGGTGGCGTTATCGCAGGTGACAAACCCGACCTATGCACATCTGAGCACATCCAAATTGAGATCGAAACCATGCGCACCTTGTTCTCGAGGAGAAGGCGCCGAACAACACGGTACAATGCTTGACCAAGTCTCTTCCCATTGTGAGCGTTCTGGAGCTGGACGAAGCCAATGATCACAGTGCGCTTTCTCCACACATCGCCAGGGCAGATCTCGATGAAAGATGCTGTAACGCATAAGTAAGCATCGAGGTTGTTCGCCTGCCAGCAGTCTGCTGACAGGTGCACCTCCCCGGGAACTCGTTCGCTCTGGAAATGATCAGGGGTCTGGCAGCCGGAGTCTATGCTGACTCAGACGAACTCACCTGAAAAAGATCCCGCAGGTCCAATAACTTCTCCTTGAACATCTGGATAATCCCAGCAAGAACTGCCTTTCGAGACGGGATATCAACACTGCCAGGCGGAGCACGAGATGCCAAGCCTATCATCTCCCGGTAGTGCACATTCTGCAAAGCAGATAATGGCTGGAATGCAGCTTGTCAGACTTGGAGCGCCAATGCAGAAATGAGAATGAGACGCACCTGATCAGTCGCAACGAGCCACTTTAGCGCCGAGAGCACCCACTTCTCGGCTGTAAATATCGGCTGTTTGACCCTGGGCACCAGCTTCCCGTCGAGTGTTGTCTGCTGTTTTGCCTCATCATCCGCTGCCTGTCGACGAGCCGCTCTGATTGCTGGAAGCTTCGACTTGAAGCTGTTCTCCTCGCACCAGTCTTCGTATTGGGTCTGTAACTTAGGCTGAGCGTCGTTCTGTAGTATTGTACAACTTTAAGTGACACGCACCTTATGTACACGCTGAAGATGCATCCGACGCGTTGAGTTGTCCTTGACAAAATCAAGCTTGAGTTTGTGATGCTTCTGTGGGTGGTTCTTCTTCAAATCCCTGACATTGACTCAGCATGCGCAAGGTGAGGATATATATTGATTGGCACACACTCGCATATTGTACAGATGTACTTCTCGGTAGATGAATCCCACCGGAAGAAATGGTCCAAATCTTCTCGTCCCTCTCTTACTCCCTTCTTGGCACGCTCGAGCGACTCCTCCATGACTACATCAGCGAGCAGCCCATCCATATCTACAGCCTCGTCGTTGTCAGGACTGTCATTGGAACGTTTGCGCTTGTTTGTTGCGGGGGGTTTCTTTGCTAGTGACGGCATTAGAGTCATGACAAAGACTGAGTGTGTGCGGCGGCGGCGGCGGAGACACATACATTGTCTACTCGTCGCTTTGGCTGAAGGCGCTTGAGCCTCCTCGTCGTGTGGAGTCTCGTCTGTCGCGGACTGTTAGTCAAAGAGGTGCTCGAGTTCCATATCGGGTGAGGACGTACCATCGTCTGTGTCCGCATCCACACTAATGTAAGTCCGATCCCCTCCTATTGAGCTGCTTTGTAAAGGCGATTGTGCATGCAACAGAGAGCCGGAGCTTGGACTCGACAGATCGCGCGCAGACGTATCATCGATGGCGAGCTGATGGGTCGGGAGGCGTTGTGCGCCATTGGTCTCATCAAGAAGTCTGCTACTGGGCACCGGCCTCCGTTTTCCCGTAACTATGTTGGCAGGATCAATGCCCTCCACATGGGCCATGTGGGGCGTGATTGCGGCGTGATTGCGGCGTTATTCGAGAGGTGGGGATAAAGGTGTGAACAAAAAAAATTGACAGCCTTGTCACGTTTGTAGGCTTCGATGCAGAATTGCACGCTTCCTGAGCCGACCCGGGTCGAGACCCGGGTTGTCGGGTCGCGCAGAATGCCCGACCCGACCCCGACCCGGTCTCTGACCCGACCCGACCCACCTCTCGGGTCGGGTCGCTGTGACCCGGGTTTCGGGTCGGGTCGCGGGTCGCGACCCGACCTGGGACAACACTAGCAGTGTGCTTCCTGTCGCCGTCCTGTTGGAAGAAGAGGGAGCTGCGGTCCAGATTATGGTCGTCAAGGGTCCCGAGAAGAGATTGGCGAAGAATGTCGATGTAGACAAAGCGATCCATGATGCCCTCGATACGATGAAGTCGTCTGGTGCCACAAGAGGTGATGCAGCCCCATACCATGACGCTCCCGTTGCCGTGTTTGACCTGCTTCTTTGTGTAGTGGGAATCCAAACCGTCCCCAGGCCTCCTCCAGACCCACTCCCGACCATCCGAACCCAAGACGTTGAACTTGGACTTGTCGGAGAACACGACAGCCTTCCAGTCCTCGACAGTGTACCCCTGATACATCTGTCCCCAATCCCTGCGACCACGCATATGCTTGTGAGTGAGCAGGGGCTTCTTTTGGTAAACGTAGGACCTCAGGCCGTGTCGACGAAGTGCCCGCCGGACAGTGTCAATGTGGAATTGGGGAAAGAAACGGCGTTGAAGGTTGGTCGCGTTTTTGGCCCAGCCCAAAGAAAGCAGATTCTTCGCGTGTTCGACGTCACGGTCGGAAAGGACACGTTCCCTGCCCTTCCTAGGGCCCTTAACCTCAAAATCACCACTTTTCCCGTACCGCCTGCCCACTCTGGACACCGTCGAGGGCGCGACATTCTCTTTTTTAGCCACCTCCCGTGTCGTCAGCCCTGACTTCCTCCACGTGACAATGGCGGCTTTCTTCGCGGGGGACAGGTCAGCCATAGGGTGAGGAAGGGGGCCTCCAAGTTTTGTGCGGATTGAGCGTGTTGTTGGGGAGAAGGAGCAAGATGAAGGTTGGAGTCCGAGAACAGGCAATGAAATGGGATCACTCGTTTGACGTGTCAGTTGTCGCTGTCAATTCAAAACGGAAATTGATCCGATCAAAGCTTGTGCATATTGAGGAGGGCCTTTTTAACTGTCTAGGGCTCCGACAAGAAGTTCATTGAGAGGTTCTACACTGAGCTATAATGAATTCAAAGTTAGAGGATGCTTGATCCCATTTCATTGCAGAGTCAGTGTACCTGTGCAGGTGCCAAAAAAGGAAATCACGCAACCATCATGCTCCTTAGTACTGAAAGCAGATATATGTTGAATTCAATCTTGATGTTTGGCATGTAGGGCCTTTCTGCGTGTTGTGGGGACCGAGGACAATGATTCACCATATCTTGTCCTTATCGGATGAGAGAAAGGTGTTATAGAGCAAGATCTGTAGTGTAGATGGCTGCCAATAACACACTTGATTGGAATGACATCATAGATTAGCGGAGATTATTGTAGATTTGATGGGTATGATAATCATAGTAATGACTTGTCACATAGTACATGTAAATCACACCACCACCCTACAGCAATCAAAAATTTGGCCTTCCTGTACAGGTAGACCTGCATCACAGGAACTACCTGGAGTTCCCAAATTGGGCCTAAGGATGAATCATCCACTGAAGGCTGTCAGTTTGTACTAAACAAGTACAAATTCTAAGTAGCACCATCAAAGGGCCACTCAAAGAGCGGCCTCCCTTGTATGCATTCAATTCTGCCCCTTTCTTGCTGAGGGTGGACATTAATGCTTTGCTATACTATAGAATCTGCCATCTCCGCTCTCAGGCCAAAATATGATAAATTAGTCACAGTGGGATTGTTATTCAGAGCTTGTCTTGCTTTGTGTTCACCCAATTTCCTTTCAATCCCTTTGATAATTTACATGAACCTGTAAAGATACACTATGAGTAGATGGATTGAGCCTCGGCCAGTGGAAATGCCATTGAAGTGCTCATTGCTGCTGCCATCTACAGCAAACAAAGCCATTACAGTTGAATCGGTCATGTGGAATATCAGCAGGAAGGGGTCCCAGCTGATTCCATATCCTGGATATTCCATATGACATAGTCACTCAAAACTTGCTTGTAAAATAGAGAAAAATTGTAAAAAATGTTCATTTATTCCTAGCTAGTGGCTACAATGATTTCTGGGGGAAAGGTCCTTGAGAGCTGTCTGGGTCTTGCTTTCTTTGGCCTCAAGGTTTAGCGCACCCTTCAACTTCCTCAAATGTGTGTCCAATGCCATCAATATGTTGAGATCCGGTTGGTTTTGGGCCACCTTTTGAAGCAGATCAATTGCAGCCATTGCGTCCTGGCACTTGAACTTGAATTCCTCAAATCCATCACCTGCATCATTGTTGTTGTTGTCAAGATCAATGATCTCTGGCTGACGGACATGGGCAACGATCTGACACAAACCATTATCTCCATTGTCAACGCGCAGGAACACAGTGTCAGCGTCCTCTTGCTCAATGACCAGCAACAAGATGTTGGAGATTGGGACACAGAGTCCACAAAGGCAGCATCTAGAATACAGTTGCTGCAATGTCTCATCCAAGTTCTCCTCTGCATCTCAAAGTTGGCGATCTTTTGCAAGAACAGATAGTAGAGATGAGAATTTGGATGTGGCCAGTTCACATGAGGACATTGACGTTTGCATCAATCCTTGCACTGCTTCTTCTGCTGCCATACAGTCTCTCTCTGCATTCATCACTGCAAGAAGAGCTGGTCGCCAGTCCTCATCACAGTACGTAGGCCCGTAGAGAGAGAGCAAGCATCTTTTGGCTGTTGGCAAAGACATCTGCATTGTGGCAAACTCAAGAATGACGGCCCAGCCCTTTTGATCTGTTGCATTGTGCAAAACTGGGATGTCCTTGCTGTTTGGCATGGTCATCTGGACATCACAGTCCTTATAGATTGGCTCTTGGGTCTTGGAGTCCACACCATCTGTTATGTCTGCATCCAAAAAGATTTCCTCCCATTCATCAGTGTCCTTTGGGCAGATCTGAGAATTTTTCCAGCAGTTTGCAATTGTTGACTGGGACACCTCATCCCATGCCTTGGTAAGCATCCTCATAGCACTCTGAATGTTGATTTTGAATGGTGCCTCCACTCCATCCTCATAGTGGTCCAATGCCCAGACAGCCTGCTTCTTTCTGTAATGAGCTTTGATGCATCGGATAATCCCCACATCACAGGGTTGGACAAACAAGGTCAGATTTGGCTTGAAGTATGTGAGATGGATATTCCTGGGCTTATAAGAGATGTTGTGATGCCCAGAGACGTTATTGAGCAACAACACAATATGAAGGTGCTGGCAATGCATCTTCTGATCTAGCTTCCCAAGCCATTTATCAAACAGCAATCCTGTCATCCATGCCTTCTGGTTTGCTTGATAGTAGAGAGGCGGACGCATACGGGCAGGATCTTTTCTCTTGAAACAACATGGCCTTGCTGACTTCCCAATGAACATGAGTTGCTCCTTCTCTGTGCCTGTAGCATTGTAGGCAACAAGCACAGACAAACAGAATTTGTCTTGTTTTTGACTGGGCATAGGTGCAGAGCAAAGTGAGCAGTTGGGAGGAGCAGATGGGAAGAAACTGGTTTCATCAGTGTTCCATCTGTCTTTGGGAGCGTACTCTACCATGATCCTGCACATGCATTTCCTCTCCTCTTCTACGGCTTTCAGATCCACTGACCCAGCCTTGCCATACCGCTTGCATTCATGCAAATCATTGCTATGATTGCATTACACAGGCAGAGCCCAGGAATCAAAAGTACGCACACTTTTTTGAAGGACTCAAGCCAGCTATTCCCTGTCAAACACTGCTCCTCAGGAATGCCCATCAACTCTTCAAGACACTTCCTTTTCACCACAAGGATTGTGCCAGTCACCATGTTTCTCTTCTCCTCCTTGTTGTACATCCACACACTCAAAGCTTTGTCAACCTCAGGACAAGTCACAACTCTGGCGCGCTTCTGAGAACCGACAGTAGAAGAATTGGCTACACTCACCCGGATCTGATCCTTCTTTTGAGCTTCTTTGAAAGCGCCTGGCGACTTGTTCATGTAATCAAAGACTTGGACCCAGTCTGACCATGTCAGATCTTTGTGCATGTCATCTTTTACAAGCTGAGCGCTGGTCTGACTCTTCTTCTCCTTAGGGCCTTGCTTTGCTCTGTCCTTGGTTGGATTTTTGTCCTGGGCACAAAGTTTTCATGCCTTCTGAGGGCTATCACGTGGCATTGGTGTGGCGGAAAGTGAAAATACATGGTCAACAAGTAGCTACAGTGATTATTACATCTGAATGTAATCAATGCCATCATATCACTTGGAATCCAGTAGATGTCCATGGAATATCTTTGGAACTTACCCTCAAATCCTGATTCCATATTCCAGGTGACAGAATGTGGAATATCTGGTTCTCCCAAGTTGGGAGAGGCCACATCTTGATTCCATAAGCTGGATATTCCACATGACCATATTCCACATGACTAATTCAACTGTACATGTATTGTTGATTGACTTTGTGATTATGTATTGTCCTGTCTTTGCAAGCACCCAGCATCTGTGTACCATACTATTTTATGACTCAAAGACACCTGACTGTAAGGCAAACTCTGCTATCAATTATTGCATGAAAATCAGCTCGTTGTAAGGGCAACCTCGAGGCCTAATCTCAGAGTCCTGACAAGAGAGAGTGAAAGCATCAGATAAGGGGATTGTCACAAGACGCCACGCTCCTTGGGCACATGACCATGCATGTGACCCACTGCGCCCTCTCTGCCAACCTGTGCCTGCTCACCTGTTGATCACCCGGCCTGCTCCTCCTCATCTGATCCCCATCTCTATCTATGCTGATGTCTGCCCTCTTCCTCCTTCTCCTGGCCATCTCCTTTGAATCCCCACAAGTGGTCTAGCCAGCCTGATTCTTTGCACCAGGGAGTGCTACTGCTATACACACTCCTCCTCCTCTACTTTGGCCTTCTCCTCGTGAATGTGATCTACTGCCATATAGGCTTGTATCAGATGCCTTTGTGCTCATCCGCACCACCTCTCTTCTCAGTTGGGCATTGGTCCTTGCCTCCCATGTCTCTACTGGCCGGCCCGGCACTAGCCTGGCCACTAGGCTCTTCCAGTGTGGCCTTCCACTGTTGGTGTCTCAGGAGCTGGCCATTACTGGCTCCTCTGAGCCACTCACTATCTTATCTGGGTTTGTCATTATCTACTTGTTATCTGCCATTGTTCCCTTGCAGTAATATCCCATCATCATCAGTCACTTGTCACAGCTGACTATGTAGTGTGATACCTGGGCACATGGATCCTTGAACTATTCTCTAAGAATCCCCCTCTGTGCTCAGGTGAGTAGTGTACCTCCCTTGTATTTGATAGTCTTCAAGGATCCCCCTCTGTGATCAGACTTATGTGAGGTTGTTATGTGCTGTGCGCTCTCTTCCTTTGGGCTGGCAGGAGTTGCCCTTACAGGAATTGACAAATACAGGAGACTGGCAAACCTGACAAGTGAAAGTCCAAAGAGAAACCAAGTTGGGGACTCTCCTTGTCAGGGCCCATGATATATAGGCCCACGATATATAGCCTCAAGAACAATGGATGATTAAGCACAATAGAAAGCACCAGACATGTCATAATTCAATCAATTTTTTATCATTCTATCAATGATCTTATCTAATCATGACATTGGGTTATCTTATCACAGATCACGGCATCACATGGTCTGGGTTAGGGGTTCAGAGGGGTTATCTGTACAGAGGCTGCACAACATGTGCTCCAGAAGGCTCTGCTTCAACCCATTGTGACAATCAACAAGAAATAATGTCAAAAAAGAGAAGTCAAGTCGAAGACTGGAGAATACACCCAAGTAACTACAGTATTTATACCCAAATCCAGTCTGAGTCATATCTACAACTAATGAGTCATAAGGCTATGTACCGCATGGAGCGCTGGTCATGGGTTGCAGTAGAACCTTCCGGAGCATATGTTGTGCAGCCTCAAATCAATAAAGACAATCCCTAGACCCCTAGCCCGGACCGTCAGATGCCGTTGATAGGCTGGCTACCAGATGCCCTCTGCACCAGCTCTATAAGGGCGTGTTTACTCTTGAACCAATCATGGTATCGTGTCGCGGTTGACAGTGTCGCGCTCAGTAGGACTCAAGGGTCTACTGCCCAGTTGTCAGGGGAACCCCGCTTCGGACCGATCAGCCTGGGATTTGGCATGCGATTGCGCTTGGGTGACCTGTCAGCTGTCACGCACAGCGGCCCGGACCGCCGCGCCGAGTGCTTCTCTCTAATGGCAGGTGGTGCCATTGTTCCTATTGTCTCCGTTCCTATTGTTCTGTCATGGCCATTGTACTTATTGTTCCCATTGTTCTTTGTTTGTCGCTGCGCGGTCTATTGTTCTTGTACCATATAAATAGTGGCGCCTGGCAAGGAGAATCCCCAACACAGTTTCTCTTTGGATTCTCCCTTGCCAGGTATGCTGGTGATAGGCTGGCTACCAGACACGCTCTGCACCAGCTCTGTAAGGGCGTATTTTTGCGCTTTTTACAGAGTTTACTCTCGAACCATTCGGTGTATCGTGTCGCAGTTGACAGTGTTGTGCTCAGTAGGGCTTAAGGGTCTACTGCCCAGTCGACGACTGTGGATAGTGTCGACAATAGCAAGGCAGTCAGACCACTACCGTGGAACTGGTCTTATGAGTCTATACCAGGCTCAGGGCTATTAGTGGCAAACGCTTGGACCGCGACAATTCCCCAAAAGGGATCGTTCGTTGCGGCGACTTCTCAAAAAGGGTCATTCTCTGCAGATGGGAACTTGGGCTGAAGGACTGAACAATGTGCGACATTCTCAATAATACAACTACTACTGGACAGGACTTGGCATTACAAGATTGAACCAATCTTGTCGCGGCAACTCCCGGTTTTGAGTTGGACGTTTCCTCAGATCATGCCACGGTGACAACTTGTCACATGTCAGGATCCATTTGATCACGGGACATTGTGGACGCGTCGTGGTGACACTTCCAAGTGTCACGGCGAGTCGCGCCCATACCCAAACACACTAAAATTGACACAGGCTAGATCCGTGAACCAAACCATGTGAGGAACGGCGGGCGTGCCTAGGGCCATACGGCTTCTTGGGGCACCCACATTGGACTCATTTGCCAAGACATACCCGTTGGCCAATCCAGCACGTTGTATTCCAAAAGTATGACGCGGTGGGTTGACCCACATCAAAAGTATCATATGGACTATGGGGCGGGGTCCTGATCAGTCAGCACCTGTCTGATCGTTCAACTTTTCATTACTCTAAAAGGCAACCGATCTTAGATAGCGTAGCTATTTTGCAGTTGTACAGGACTTTACTAAACATCGTCGTAGACAGTATAAGTAGCGCGTCGTTTCTTTGTATTAGGGAGCTTTCCCCCAGACTGTGAATCACTCTCATTTCAGATTGTTTTGTACAATTTGCGTGTCGCGTGATTCCACCCTAAGAAGTTCTGCCACCCCTGCCCGGTCGCGACGAGTTGCTCCCTGAGCACTTGTAGCTACTGTGATTTGAGTTTGAGTTGAGATATCAGAAAGTTGGATTCGCCGCATCTGGTTTAGTCGCGGCATTTAGTGTCGTCGCCTTTGGGCTTTGTTGAGATTGTTCCACACCTCTAGCTTGGCAGTGTGTCGACTAGTTGTGCTCGGGTTGTTTTGGTCAGTTGGCAGTGCGTCGACTTGAGAACTTTGGTTCCACACTTCTTGCTTGGCAGTGCGTCGACAAGTTGTGCTCAGGTTTTGGACATTGGATATTGGCTGTTAGTTGGCAGTGCGTCGACTTGACATTTTGGTTCTACTAGTTGGCAGTGCGTCGACTCAGTACTTTTGGTTGTGTCAGTTGGCAGTGCGTCGACTCAGTATTTGGGCTTTGCGTCGCCATCCGGACGCTGTCGCTACAAGGAATCTTAATACTTCATATTAAGCTCTGACTTGTCATATTGTTGGTTTTGATTGGATTAGTGTTGGTTGTGTTCGTATAGAAGATATTGATTGAGACACCACTGTTTACTATATATAAATTCTTGTCGTTGACTTCGTCTTCCGCGACTATTGGATCCGCGTCTATTGAAAGTTGTGATACTGGTGCTCTGTCCACCCCGAAGCCCTCGCATCTTTAACACACTGAGAAGCTGATTACGAGGAGTGTGAATGTGTTTATATTTGGGTTTACTTTCATAGTAGATTCACCTGTGAGCACGCCCTCAGCATTTCACCGGTCTTGTACCTAGCTACCACTATTGATCACCTTTGGATTCTCCCTTGCCAGAACTCTGAGATCAGGTCTCGAGGTTGCCCTTACAGCAGAAACCGTGTTGCTAGGGATAACCGGACAAGATTGCGAGGTTCGATGCTGACGCCAGTGGAGAAGAGTCGACGAGCGACCAAGACCACCACTCCCTCACCTCCTATCTTGCCCCCTCCTCCCCTCCACGAGCAGACCCAATGAGCATGGATGACAACGAACAGCAGCGGCTGTCTGCTCTGGAGACCAGCATACAGAACATCGAGGCCGTACTCACCCGCCTCATCTCTCAACAACAACAACCCCCTGCCCCTGCCCCTGCTCCAGCTCCGGCAGCGGGTCCAGGTGTTTCTACTGGCGCCAGCCCTGCGCGCCCCCTTATCCGTCCGAATCCTCCCTTCTCCTTCGATGGGGATCGCACCCTGGGCAAGAGCTTCTTGCATTCAGTGAAGCAGTACTGGTGTCTGCTTCCTGAGGCGTTCTTTGTGAATGGGGCAGTCTCGGAAGAAAAGGTAGTCCGCTTCGCCCTGTCCTACATGTCCAAGGACTCCGCGGCCTCCTGGTCCGAGCGCATGTCCGAGCGCACCCCATTCCCGTTCCCTACTTGGGCTCTCTTTGTCACCGAGTTCAAGCTCCGATTTGTCGAGGAGAACGAGCAAGACCACGCCCTTGCGCGACTGGAGACCCATCTGTACTATATGGGCTCCCGTGATGTGTTCAAGTACACGGACGAATACGACGACCTCCTTGATCTCGCCGGCTATACCGACGATCTGGTCGAGGTGACCAAATATAGGACGGGCCTGGATCCGAAGATCAACCAGGCTATCACCACCTCTGGCAACCCTCCCAGGCTCACTGACTACGCCGAGTGGCGTGTCCGTGCGTTCCGGCAGTACAATGCGGAACAAGCTGCCAAGGCGTCTCGAGGCCACGTCCCTCCCCCCCGAGCGCCTCCTATCGTCCCTCGTCCTCGTGCCCCGGTGCTCCCTGCTGTAGCGCCGGCAATTGCTGCTCGCCCGGCGCCGGCTCCTGTTGCCCACCCCATCCCCATGGAGTTGGATTGGACCCGGCTCCGTGGTGACATTTGTCGCACCTGCTTCCGCTGCGGCAGTCCGGGCCATCTTGCCCGTGACTGCCCCACCCCAGCTGATATCTGTCACACTGATGTCCTTGATGAGGTCATCAACCAGCTGGGAAGTGAGTTGCTCTCTGAGTTGGTTGCCCAGGTTGCGACCACTGCAGCCGTTGCGGATCATGCATCCAACGTTGCAGCCGAGGAGGAGCAGGGTTTTCTCCCCAGCAACGAGTGAGTAGTACGCCCTCGTTCGCTTCACGTAATTGTTTCTCCTGTTTGTATGATGAATCCAATTCCCTCCACTCTGCAACAGTTGAAGCAATAGACGTACACCCTGCTCCCCCTCTAATCCCACGAGTCCGTAAGGAGAAGTGGGAACGCAAGCTCCCTTCCTGCTATGTTGCTGCCACCTCTCCCGGGGCCAATTCTCTCCACCTCCCCCTCGAGATCGAGTCCACCGACAATGCAGTGAAGTTATCTCTCAAAGGCCTGGTCGATTGTGGTGCCACATCCAACTTCATTGACTCAGACTACCCCCTCGAAAACCACCTCCCCATTCGACGCCTCACCCAGCCAATCCCCGTTTACAACGTGGACGGCACGCCGAACAAAGCCAGTTCCATTTGCGAAGTCGCCGATGTGGTTCTCCGTTATTAGGGCCACAGTGAACGCGTGCAGCTTGCTGTCACTTGTTTAGGCAAGCAGCAACACTCCTTGGAAGCCGGTGACCGTATCTTTTACACCCGCTTCAACCCTTCTGAAGACATCCAAGCCACTAGCACTGTCTCTCAGCGACGCCCATGGGATCACGTCATCAAACTGGTCCCTGACACGAAGCCGACCAACTGTAAGGTCTACCCCATCTCCCCTCTTGAACAGAAGCAACTCGACGAATTCATCGAGGAGGGCATGGCTACTGGCAGGATTCGGCCGTTGAAATCGCCCATGGCATCCCCTGTCTTCTTCGTGAAGAAGAAAGATGGCAGCTTACGGTTTGTCCAAGATTACCGAGCACTAAACGCGATGACAGTGAAGAACCGCTACCCGCTCCCCCTGATCAATGATCTCATCAACAAGCTCAAGGGAGCTCGGTTCTTCACCAAACTCGACGTTTGCTGGGGCTTCAACAACGTGCGCATTCGTCAAGGCGACAAGTGGAAGGCAGCGTTTCGGACAAACCGCGGGCTCTTTGAGCCGTTGGTGATGTATTTTGGCCTGACCAATTCCCCTGCGACGTTCCGGCTCGATACCGGTGTTTGTGGCCGATACTGATACTGATACTGAGCGGAGTTTGAATACCGGCCCGCGTGATCTTCCTGCACTGCATATACTGATAGGCCATCTTCCCATCTACATCTTTCGAAGAATCGAACGCCGTTACGCGCTCGCTCGCTCGCGCGTCGCCACAACACGACTGAACATTCAACAATCTATCTCAAGTCCAGGGGCCCGGGGAATGGAGGACTCGGAGGGAGGCTCAAACGGAGGAGGATCGGGCGACATAGCTCACAGGTGTGTCAGGCTTACTTTCAAAGTTTTCCGCTTGCCTATCCCGTTGTCTAGTAGCGAGAAACGACGTCCTGGCAGGCCCAAAGGCTCAAGAAACAAGTCAAAAACACCATCTGCATCCTCTCTTGAGCCTCCGCGACCCCGAGGACGACCTCGTGGTTCGGGGCCAAAGCAGCTTGCCGCTGCTGCTGCTGCCCGTTTGGCTGCATCTCGGGCAGCCACACGTTCATCCACCCCATCTTTGGACCAAGAATCGGCGTCGCAGCCTGAATCGAGTGAACTGCACCTGCCTAAACGCCCCGTTGGGCGACCTCGTTTACATCCCGCCCCTCCCACAACAACTGTCAATGTTGGACGCACAGTGCGCACAACATCTGCTTTCATTTTGGCTCCTCGCTCATATTTTATACAGAACACCGTTCCGGGGATGCCTGCTGTAATTCGTTCTCGGCCTCCCGATGCTGTAGACAACAACAATCCCAACAATATACATCTCATTTTTCTGAATGCCCCTCGTTTCGCTGTGCCCTCGTCGACATCCGCTCCAGCTCCATCATCTTCTCAGACAGCTTTGTCGCCACCGTTGCACGAGGGACCAAACGAAACCCGAGAAGGGTCGACGTCGACAAATCCGAGTCATCCGCAACCCATCTGCGCAGATAGGAGGCCAACGGTCGAAGAGATTGAGGATGAAGAGGATGAAGAAGATGGATATGATGATTATCTCAACGACGGAATTGGAGAGGACCCAGGAGGCGATGACGACGAAGACGACGGAGACAGCGATGGGTTGTCTGGCGGTCAGGAGAGCTCGAGTGCGGACCCCAAACCACAAAGAACACCGCGGCCATACCCAACCTGGGTAACATCCCGCTTCACTTCTCATGTCGCAGCAAGTGCGCAGCGCGGTGCGGATGGTCTCCCTCCCTTGTATCGAGACCACAAGTCATTCTGGTTTCTCGCGGAAGATCCATTCTTCTCAACGCAGAACGTCGAAGATCTCAAGCCTGAATCTCTTTTCCATCCCCGATTCTTTCTATGGGATCCCATGGCTCTGGGCCAGGTTCCGTGCCCGCGGGAGGGCTGTAGATCGAACCTCAATCGACATGCCACAATCAAGCGGCCACGGAGATGTGTTGACTTTGACGACACCTTCTACATGATCGGATATCGCTATAGATGTCCAAAGTGTGTCCATTCCAAGTCTGGGAAGAACACCGTCACATACAACAGCTGGGATGCTGCCATCCTCTGCAAAATCCCCCGGGCTCTTGCGAACGCGTTTCCTGCTGTGCTCAGTCATCGGAGCGCCATTTCCGAGCGCGTGTTTATGTTCATGCGATCTTGCTTCCAGAGTGGGATGGGGGCCAAGCAGTTCTCTGACGCTCTTCGTGTTCGCCATCTCGAAAACTACGACAAGCTGCAAGTGTCTTATCTCTCGACCATTGCTCGTGCTCGGTCCGACAACATATGGCTTGGAGCAAATCGCAAATACAAGCACTTTCTGCCGTTTGAGGATATGTCAAGTGACGGGTTTCACGGCTACATTCCGAGTTCACAGCTTCTTCGGGATCTCTTCGACCGCTTTATTGAACATCATGGCCCGGACTTCAATCAGGCCATCTCACTACTCACTGGATGGTTGTGCGCTATCGATCACAGCTTTAAGGTGCGTTCTTTGCTTCGTTTTCAGATCATTCATTTAGTTCGAGCTCCAGTTGGCAAAGCATATTGCCAAAGTCAACGGGGAGCAGATATTCATCGCTCTGCTCACCGTGACTAACGAGCTGGGCGAGATACGCGTCTGCAATCTTGTGGCCACCAAGTCACATACCCAATTTGAGCTTGCGCTGGATCGAATGCGGGAATCCCTTAAGCGTTATGGGCATGACCAGCCCGCTATCTTCTATACGGATAACATGGCTGACAAGGCTTTCCTTGAGCGGTGCTTTCCCTCTCTCTGTGAGGACGTTGTCGCCGTTGAGAAATACAGTCAGCTGGAGTGCTTAGAGCTTCCGCGACGCGAGAACGTCTATGTGATGCATGCGCATGATGAGATCAATGAGGCCATGCGTGCAATTCTGCATGAGCTTCCTGAAGACTCTCTGTCTGCAGAACTGGTTCTGTTCGTTGACTCCGAGTGGAATGTGGAGACATCCACACAGGGTTATGTAACGGGACGGGGATCTACTGCAATTTTGCAGCTCGGGTTCCGAGACAAGATCTACATTCTACAAGTTAGCACTATCCCATGCACCGAGCACATGTTCATTTACTGACTAGAAACATAGATTGGACGGATGCTTTCAGGCGGTCGAATGCCACCTGCGCTCAAACAATTGTTCACCAATCCACGTATCCTAAAGGTTGGACGAGCGGTGCATGCAGATCTCAAATACCTCCAAGAAGCTTGTGCTAGCACCGAACCGTTTGTCGGCGCAGTAGATCTAGCGCGCCTTGCCAAAGATCGACTCGTGATCTCGACTGCTAAAGTTGGGCTTGACGATCTCTGTGCCCGTGTGCTTGGGAAGCGGCTCAACAAAAATGTAGCGGAGCGTGTGAGCACCCTCTGGGAGACAGAGACCCTATCAGAAGCACAGATAACCTATGCTGCGCTTGATGTTCATGCTTGCCGATGTCTTTATGATGTCCTTTCCCAAATCTCGCCCCCTGTCCCATTACCAAAGACTGCTGGTATAGGAACAGAGGTTCTCCTGTTCTCAGAGGATCGCACCCGTGTTGTGGCCCATGGAACAATCAGCGCGGTGAGCGGCAAGTATCAAGAACGCATCACCATTACTGCATCCCAATGCATTGTGCGTGTGACGGAAGTCGTCGTTCCAGGTGCTCTAGCCAAGCTGGGAACAAAGAGTGTGTCCCTCGAAGAGCTTGGAGACACTCCTTTCGAAGTTATCTGGCGCCGAAATCATCTCCATCTACATTCACCAATACCAATGCCTGTTCCTCTTTCGTCCCTCCAGCTGACCTCCCATCCGACTCCGCATACCTCCGAGAAGGGCAAGCAGACCACTCTGGTTTCTGATGATCCGGAGTCAGTCCCCGGAACAAGCCTTGGACAGGTTTTGCGCGATCTCGAATCGGGATCATCAGACTCAGCGGCTTTACCAAGTCAACCGTTCAATTCCATCTCTTATGCGGTGGATTTGGAAAGCCAAAAGCAGGGCGAGGTGATTTTGGATGCAGAGATCCAGTGGAATGAATGGAGGACAGAGATTCGAAGTCGGGTGCTCAAGGATCCTTTCCATATCTTTAATATGTTCTATCTTTCTGTCCAGCACTCTCTGCGAGTCGAGTTTGCACGGACTCTGCGAGATGCACTTTTCATCCCTGATCCTTGCGACAAAGCCCGTATTGTTGAGTGGGGCAGGCGACAGAATGTGCCGCGTACTTGGGATGATCTTCTCTTTCGCAATGCGGCTTGGCTATGGAAGCGTTGCAAGAGAATCATTCCGCCTCCAGAGGAATTGTATGCATTGGTGTCAGAAGTCTTCCGTGTCTTTGGACCTCTCAAAGATGCTACAACTGGCCTGCCCTTGTTCAATTCTGCCGCATGGGCTGTTGCAAAAAACATCTTGGAACTCATTCGGAAAGGTTTCGTCTCAGACCCACCATCAATTGCCTTATACTCGCAGCGGGGAGTTGACAAGAAGACCGGGTTGCCTCTCTTTCGCTGTTTCCGTGGAACGAACTTCACGGAAGGGGGTGTGCATACTCATCTTCGCTCTCGAATGCCGACTTCGGGTGCTTCCATCCCTCATGTGAATGCGACTCTCAAGGACTTCATTCTTTGTCACAATAAGCGGGTGAGTTGTCCGTTTTGGTGTCGGATCATGTGCATTTATGTCAGTTACAGGTAGGAACAATGAATAGCACCGGGAAACCATTTCGCGGGCATTTCTTCATCTGGCTTACCAATGAGATTCAAGAATACGAGTCAGCACTTGAGGATGTCATGCAAGCCCGCCAGGAATCATCTATCTGCCACGTAAATGGCAACTTTTACCTCCCCACCAATGAAGTCTCGGGCGTTCTTCCAATCCCAGCTGATATTCGTGTCAAGGCAGGCATGGCTCCCTTCGATCCTGTCGTAAACACAAAGGGTCAGCTGCATCGACACCTTGCATCATTACAAGGTACTCGAAAGGCTGTTCTGCCAATTCATAATGAGCCAGAAAAGCTCTTGTTCAAAACTTTCATGTCCGGTCAACAATCATTTGGAAACTTCACATCTGATGCGCAAGTCAATGCCTCAGTTCGCGCTTGGAATATACATGCGGATACGGATAAGGACATTCATTATAAAGTAAGTTACTCTAATGATTTGACGAGGATCCTACTGAATTGTCATAGCTGCCTGAGCAACTGAAGGCCTATTACAATGGAGCATGGAAGACCAACTCAAATATCAAGCAAACGAAAGCACTCACATCGGATTCACGTCGCCCGCTTCTAGCCAAAATTCGTGATCCGAAGCGTCTTCAGAATGTCCCTGCAGTACCTGAGACTCCCATGCGCTTGCCTTCTGTCCCAGCAGGATTACTCACTCTTGATTCCTCGGCACCTGTTACATCACATTCTCTAGGCCCTGCTCGTTTCATGCAAACGGGTCTTGACAGCGCAACCATTGCTGATTCGGGCGCCGCAGGAATCACGTTCGCGGCTGGGTCAAGTCAAAGCTCAGCAGCACCTGAACAGACACATCTATCAGAACCAAATAGACCCGAGCACGAATTGAGGAACTCACATATGCGAGTCTTGGCGAAGCGCAAGATCGATGCGACGCTGGCAGCAACCACCCCTGCGCCCAAACCTAAACGAGCGAAACGGAGTTGTCGAAAATGCGGGCAACAGGCCGGAGATTGTCGTGGGGCAAAAGAGGTCAGGTTGTGCAGCCGCCCATGTCGTGACTGCGGTAAGGTGGATTGTCGAGGTCGGAATCCTAAGTCGCCAAATGTAGACTGTGCGCGCGCAAAGTGGGATGATGGTTAATCGAGTTCGGGCTCATACATGTCAGTAGGAGTTACATAGATATGTCTTATGCCTCAGAAAATGGACTATAAGCATTGAACTTGGAGACAGAATCTGAGGCAAGCACACCTGTATCATAGAACATCTCCAAACTTGACATCTCACCCTCATCTCCGTGTCCTGACCACGTCGTCTGTTGTTCGGTCGGTGTTGTCAACAAGAATGCGCAAGTTGTGAAAGACCAAGAAAAGGCCGTACAATGGGAGAAGCAAGATGCAGAGAGGAGCCAGGCGTAATGACAATGGTCAGAGAGAGAGAGAGCGTAGTGATGCATGATGGCTTGCACGATATGAAAGTCAGTATCGGTACAACAATGAATGATTATTTTACGAACTCACACTGAAATTCACGCTCTGAGACCTGGGTGCAACAATTTCTAGGACTATAGGTCCTCTGAGTCTTTTTTTCAGCTTGATCCGGGCAGCAAGTGAAGTATCCCGAGTATTCTTTGCTTTTTCTTCAGTATCGGATGTGGGAACGATCACTGCACAGCCTAAAGATTGATTGAATGCCGGATTGGAGATCATTGTCATCTATTGATCAGATATCGCTCGATCTCGGACATAGTCTCGGAAGAGATCGGGTAAGTCCCCTTATTTATACGTTTCTTTATTATCTTTATTTTTTTATTTTCACCCACAAACACCAGTATCAAGCCGACGTTCCAGACGATGATGAATGACATACTTCAGGACCTCATCCTCTCTGGCGACGTTATGGTGTACCTCGACGACATTCTCATTGCGCATTCCGATATCCACTGTCACCGGGAAATTGTGAACAAAGTCCTTCAACGTCTCTGCAAGAACAAGCTCTACCTTCACGCGGAGGAATGCGAATTCGAGATGTCGTCAATCGAATACCTTGGACTGATCATTTAACACAACCATGTGGAGATGGACCCGGTCAAGGTTGCAGGTGTGGCGGAGTGGCCAGCTCCGGTTAACAAGAAGGAAGTGCAGCAGTTCCTCGGCTTCACTAACTTCTACCAGAGGTTCATCCGGGACTTTTCGCATGTTGCCCGTCCTCTTTTTGATCTCACCAAGAAGGATGTGGCATGGACTTGGGGCGCCAATGAAGAGGCCGCGTTTCTTGCACTGAAGAACGCTGTTACCTCTACCCCAGTTCTGCAGCTCCCGGATGCCTCCCGGTCTTACTGCCTCGAAGCAGACAGTTCGGACTATGCGACCGGCGCCGTCATCTCGCAGCAGTCCCCTGTGGATGACAAATGGCACCCGGTCGCCTTCTTCTCAAAGAGTCTTAACGAGGTCCAGTGGAACTATGAAATCCATGACAAGGAAATGCTCGCCATCGTCCGCGCCTTGGAGGAGTGGCAACACTTCCTTGAGGGTGCCGAGCATCCCGTTGAGATCTGGACTGACCACAAGAATCTGGGGTATTTCTGGAAGGCCCAGAACCTCAATCGTCGCCAGGCCTGCTGGTCCCTCTATCTGTCTTGCTTCAACTTCACCCTGCATCACCAACCTGGCTGCCTCATGGGTCGCCCGGATGCTCTCTCGCACCGCCCCGACCATGGAGTTGCTTTGGACAATGCAGACATCACGCTGCTTCGCCCGGAGCTATTCCACGTCTGGGCCCTTGAGGGTCTCACTGTCTCTGGACCTGAGACCCCCCTCTTGCACGACATCTGAGAGGCCCTTGCCGGTACCCCCGACATGGAGGAGCCCATCGTGTTGGCAGCACGTTGACGAGCAGTGATGCACCCTGGCCCCGCAATCAATTGATCAGAAGCCGCATCAATATGACGTAGCAAGCTGCTTGAGCTGACAAAGCAGCCTCAATTGATCTGGCACGTGATGAAGAGCTTCGGACCGGAATCCAATTTCGGAGTTCATTCCCTCTTTGTGGCTCTAACTCCTTTCATTTCGGCGAAATTCAGCACGGACTAAAGTAATAAATTAACATAGAGCTCAATGGTCACCATATCAACAGGAGGTTCAATTTATTTATCTCCTTCTGATCTGATTTACACTTAGTATAAAATACCTGTAGTACAGTACAAAAAACAAGAAATCTTCTTCACCCACTCTCTAGAGTCTAAAGCGACCTCCCAGTGCTTTCTATCTCGCTTTTGTGACGCCCACTTCTGCGTTATTTCCCCAACATCGCGCCCGAAACTCCCATTTCGTGCTACAGACATACATATTGATCTCCCCGTCGTTCTATCGTGCTCTCGCCCTGTCCTCCGTCGTCATTATCGTCCCATCGCCCGTTCTATTGTCCCTTTGCTCCCCCTGTTGCTCACTGCTGCCCCCGCCCATTTCAGTTGAGCCCATTTCCCCGAGCCTGACCTTGTTAGGATCAGAATCCCACACACAAATACTGCGCGAGCCAGAGCCGCAGCTCACTCCCCTCGACCTCCGACTACTCCCTTGTATCTCCCTGTACGGCTGCGCGCTCATACGCCCCGTAGGCGTGTCATTTTGGAACCCCTGCGGGATTTGTTCCAATTACAACATTGATTCAGGCTCTAACCGCGCCCTCCGCCCGTCTGAACCTCGAAATCTCCGTCTAGAGTTCAGGGCTATTTCCCAGAACCCTCTCAATCTCTCGGACGCAGCACATCACACCGATTCGTCCTCAGAGGACTTATTGGTTCCTGTTCCTCACGAACTCTCCCATCCCTACAACTTGGAGTCATCAGATTCTTACCTGCCCACCATCGATCCCTTCACCGATTCCTCGCCCTCGTCGCAGTCCTCATCACCTCCTTTCATTCTCCGTCCCGTCTCACCCTCTCCGTCGCCTCCACCGCCTCCACCGCCTCCACCGCCTCCGAACCAGAACATGGCAGCTGTTGTGCCCATGCCCGCCCGTGGTGCCCGAGGAGCACCTGAATTCGACCCATCGAAGCCCCGTGAGCTTCCACGCTTTTTCACGGACCTGGAATACCATTTTGGGCTTGCCAGCATCGCCGATGCTCAAGAACGGAAGCGCCACGCCCTGCGGTTTCTCCCTTTTGATGAAGCTGAGCTCTGGGAGTCTCTAGATTCGTTTGCCGCGCCTCACAACTACGACGCATGGAAAGCTGAAGTTTTGAAGCTTTATCCCGGCACGGATTCTGACCGCAAATATGCGACTTCGGACCTCCATGCGCTCATTGGCAAATACGCCAGCTCGGGGATTCACTCACGCGCTGAATATAGCGAATTTTATCGCCTTTTCCTGGTCATCTCGAAATACCTCATATTAAAGCAACGGCTGTCTCCGGTTGAGCAGTCCCGGGCGTTTCGAACCGCCATCGCTCCTGCCTCGCTTTGGAACCGCGTGCACCAGCGGCTACAAATTAAGAAGCCTGATGTTCATCCTGAAGACCCATATGAACTCGGTGATATGAACGAAGCCGTGGAATTTGTTTTGGCTGATTCCACTGGGTCATTTTCGTTTCAGACCACGGCGCCTCCAGCTGCCTCGTCCCCGGTCACTGTCAAGTCCGAAGCTGACCCTAATTCGGCTATTCTCGGCGAAATCCTCAAGCTCCTTGTGGCGCAGAACGCTGCACGCCTAGGCCCTGCGCCCGCCGTTTCATCAACCACGCCGTTGCCTTCATACCCTGCGCCTCCACGCGACTCGAACTGCTCATATTGCAGTGAATCTGGCCATTTTATTGCGCGCTGCCCTCGTGTCGAGGATGACATACGCGCAGGCAAGTGCAAACGCAACATTGAAGGACAAGTTGTCCTACCCAGCGGCGCCTACATCCCACGCCGTATCGCGGGAGCTAATTTACGTGCTCGATTCGACGAATGGCACCGGCAGAATCCCGGACAAACAGCTGCCTCAAATTTCCAGGACATCTCGACGAATTTCCTTTCATCCAATAAACTCAGTCCTCCTGTGTCTACCTTCTCTCTCACGGATTCTGAACGTTTGGAGCAGCTAGAGCGCGAAATTTGGGCAGTCCGTACTCGACAACAAGCCCGTGCTGCGATCGAAGCCAGGGATCGATCTGGGGATCCTACCGAAGCTCCTGAACAGGCCATTCGCTCGACACCGCCCCCAGCTCGTATTCCAGCCCCTGCTGTTGCTACGCCGGCCCGTGCTCCGGTTTCAGCTCCGGCCCCTGCGCCTGCTATTTCTCCGACCAACGCTGTGCCCGAGCATCCGTATGCCCGTGCAAGAGACGCCGCTTATGCGCCACCACAAGACCGCAATTTTGGCGCACGAGTTCCGGCCCCAGTAGCCAAGAAAAACGAACCGGCCTATCGTTCCTCAGCCCCGGTTTACGACGAGAAACACGCCGACGCTGTATTTGGACGCATAATGGACACAAAAATCGAGAACTCAGTCCAGGAGTTGATGTCTATTTCCCCCGAGGTGCGCTCCCGCATGCGTGATGCTACCAGTAGCCGTCGAGTTGCTCCGGCTGCTGATGGTAAAACCGCGGCCCCGCCAGTCTCAACGAACGTTTATGAGCAATATACCGTTGATCCCCTGCCACCAGACGCTTACATCGAGACCCTGGACGAGCAGAAGCGTAGTGATGCACGAAACGCTGCGTTCTTCGACTCAATGCCTGCTGGTTACATGAATTCGGCCCTTCCACCTGGCGCCATCATCATTCCGGACTATTACGAAACACTGGTTCATTCCGGCGCGTCTATTGACGACCTGGTTGTTTCCCTGGAGTCCTCGGCCATTCGATCTGTCCTTCCCGTGGTTGACAATCGGCTCAGGGTTGAATCCATCATTGACGGCGGTTCTCAAATCATCGCAATGTCTGAGGCGGTCTGCCACCAGCTTGGCTCGTCCTACGACCCCACGGTTGTTCTCCGAATGCAGTCAGCAAATGGATCGATCTCCCCCTCTCTTGGTCTTGCACGGAACGTTCCTTTCGCGTTCGGGGATATCACCCTCTACTTGCAGGTTCATGTTGTACGAAATCCTGCTTACGACATCCTCCTGGGACGTCCCTTCGATGTCCTGACGGAAAGCATCATCCGAAATTACGCCGACGAGAACCAGACGATCACCATTCGAGACCCAAACACCGGCAAGATCACCACAATTGCTACTGTTCCCCGTGGCTCTCGTCCCCGGATCCAGGATTTTCCCAACTCGAGGATTTGATCCCAGATCAAGGAGAGGCCGCTTTTATCATCGTACCTGACCCACAAGACCCCCAAAAATTGATTCTCGAAGCCTCCGTTTCTCTCCCTGATAAATATTCGTCTGCTGACCTTAATATTCTTTATCTTACAGGTTGTGATAATTTGGACCAATATTCGGAAAAATTGCAGTATGCATACTCAAACGCACAACCGTTATCTACTGCGGGGTCCGAGTCCCCACCGGGGGATTCAACTCCCCCGTTCATTCTGCCGTTCGCATCGCCAGCTATCTTCACTCCATACGACGTGTCTGTCCCTCTCTATGACCAATCCACATCTGCGTCCAATCCTTATGCCGCCTCCCATGTCGACGTGTTTGCCAAGAAACGATACAAACCGGTAGCGCAAAAAGTGCGCCCTGTCCTTGGTACTCTACCCGAGCACTTTCGAATTGTCCGTGAAATACGGGGTGATCCACTTGCCTCCCTTCCTACCCTCGATCCCCATCCTCCTCCATTTGTCCCGACTGGCCGCTATACCTCAGAGCGCCACGATATCATCGACTCCCTTCATCCCGGGGACTTCCTGTGGCCCGAGGAACGACGATTAATGCACCATTTCATGTGTCTGCACAATGATGGCTTCGCTTGGACAGATACAGAGCGAGGGAAGTTCCGTACCGACTTCTTTCACCCCGTGATCATGCCAGTGGTCCCACACAAGCCATGGGTCCAGCGCAACATTCCCGTTCCACCAGGCATCTACAATGAAGTGTGTGAGCTGATACGCCGCAAGATGGCAGCTGGCGTCTACGAACCGTCAAATTCATCATACCGGTCGCGCTGGTTCTGCGTGGTAAAGAAGGACGGCAGCAGCCTCCGTCTTGTGCACAGTCTCGAGCCGCTAAACGCTGTCACCATTCAGCACTCGGGTGTTCCACCACTCACCGATCAAGTTGCCGAGCAGTTTGCGGGCCGCGCATGTGGCGGCATCCTTGATCTCTACGTTGGCTATGATGAGCGCGTACTCGACGAAGCCTCCCGTGACTTCACCACGTTCCAGTCACCTTTTGGCGCCCTGCGACTCACCAGTTTACCTATGGGATGGTCAAACTCCGTACCCATCTTCCACGACGACGTTACCTTCATCCTTCAGCCCGAAATCCCTCACTTCACAATTCCCTACATCGACGACACCCCAGTCCGTGGACCATCCACCCGTTACGAGCTCCCCGGCGGCGGGTACGAGGTCATTCCAGACAATCCGGGGATTCGACGATTTGTCTGGGAGCACTTCCAGACGCTCAATAGGATCGTACAACGGATGAAGTACTGCGGAGGTACCTTTTCTGGGCCCAAGGCCATTTTATGCGCCGAAACGATCACCGTCCTTGGCCACGTCTGCACGTACGAAGGGCGCATCCCTGACCCCTCCCGCATCGAGAAGATAGCCAGTTGGGGACCGTGCTGTGATCTGTCCGAAGTCCGTGCTTTCCTTGGCACGGTTGGCGTGGTACGAATGTTCATACGTGATTTTGCACGCCGGGCAAGCCCTCTCGTATCGCTGACCCGAAAAGACGTCCCATTTGTCTTTGGCAACGAACAGGTCAGAGCTCAAGACGATCTGAAAGAAGCCCTACTTAGCTCACCGGCGCTCCGTCCTCTCGACTACACGTCCCTGGCCCCAGTGATCCTCTCAGTCGATACATCCTACATTGCTGTTGGCTCCACCCTTGCGCAGTGTGATCCACAAAATCTAGCTCGACGGTTCTACGCACGTTTTGGATCAATAACGCTGAACGAGCGCGAATCCCGGTTTTCGCAGCCCAAGCTCGAGCTGTATGGTTTGTTCAGAGCCCTTCGAGCATGGAAGATGCACTTAATTGGTTTGCGCAACCTCGTGGTCGAAGTGGACGCACGGTACATTAAAGGAATGCTGGCAAACCCGGATTTAGCGCCCAACGCAGCAATCAATAGGTGGATTTTGAGTATACTCACCTTCCATTTCGAGCTCGTTCATGTCCCCGGTATCTCTCACCGTCCCGATGGCCTTTCTAGACGACCCCCACAGCCTGGCGATACAGCAGAAGAAGACAACGATTTTGACGACTGGGTTGATCAGCTGCATGGGTTTGTGCATATGATCAATGACGCACCGTACCACCGGAACAGCACCCCGCAACGAGTGGCTACCTTCCTTGATGAGACACACTCCGACGTACCAGAGAGTGTCGTCAACGCTCCAACGCCCCCTCTTTCCTATACGGACGTCCCTCGATCACCGGCGGATCTACTTGCGGATCACCGAGTCGACTTGGTCCAAGCCTGGCACGGAAACTTGCAACGTCCGCGTGACATGTCCGACGCCGAATACAAGACATTTGTGCGCTATTGCATGGAGTTCTTCATCAGCGACGGCACGCTATGGCGTAAAGACTCACATGGACGACACAAACTGGTCGTGCCCCCTGCACGTCGAATCTTCATTATGCGATCTGCGCACGATGACACAGGCCACAAAGGCTTCTTTGCAACGCGTGCACTAATCTTCGAGCGGTTCTGGTGGCCACATCTCTCTAGTGACGTGGTGTGGTACGTCCGCACCTGTGATCTGTGTCAGCAACGGCAAACGCGCAGGATCCACATACCGCCTGTAGTCGCAACCCCGGCACCAATCTTTGCGAAAATGTACATGGATACAATGCACTTACCCACCAGCGGAGGCTTCAAGTACGTCGTCCAAGGGCGTTGTTCGTTGACCCACTACCCCGAATGGCGCATGCTTCGTCAGGAAAACGCTGCGGCGATCGCAACGTGGATCTTCCAGGACATCTTGTGTCGCTGGGGGACATTAGTCGAGATCGTGACTGACAACGGGACGCCGTTTGTGAAAGCGCTTACTCACCTGGAGAGACAGTACAACGTGCGGCACATCCGAATCTCCGGTTACAATTCCCAGGCAAATCTGGCGGAGCGCCCACATTTCGACGTCCGGGAGTCCCTCTTCAAAGCCGCGGACGGAATCCAATCCAAATGGCACTCGACAGCCCACTCAGTCTTCTGGGCAGATCGAGTGACTGTGCGTCGACGTATGGGATGCTCACCGTTCTTTGCCGTCACCGGCGCGCACCCGTTGCTGCCACTAGACATCTCAGAAGCAACCTACCTCCTCCCGGCCCCCGCATCCGTCCTTTCGTCCACGGAACTCATCTCACACCGTGCTATCGCCCTGCAGAAGCGCCGGGAACAAATGGCGTTCCTCCATTCCGCCGTCCTCGAGGCCCGCGTGCAAGCAGCGATCCGTTTTGAGCAAGAGCACGCGCACACGATCCGCGACTACGATTTTCAGCGCGGCGACCTGGTCTTGATGAGAAATACGGCGATCGAGAAGTCCCTGAGCAGGAAAATGCGCAAGCGCTACCTGGGACCGCTGATAGTCGTCTCAAGGAATCGGGGAGGCGCTTACATTGTCTGTGAGCTCGACGGCTCGGTTTTCCACCGGCCTATTGCCGCATTTCGCGTCATACCTTATTTTGCGCGCCGCTCTATTCCCCTTCCCCCACTCGAGGATCTGCTCGATATTTCGACGGAACGGTTGCGTGAGCTCGAAGAATCCCTCCCGGTGGACCCGGAGGAGATCGACGAAGAATCAGGGCCTCAGAGCGAGTTTGGCGGCGCTGAAGCAGAGCTCTAGCAACCCAATGACCAAGAACGCATTCCGCAGAACGCACCTATTGTGATCAAGCCCCCGAACCAATAATCCCCCCTCACTTCAGCCTCATTTCGATTCGACGACTGACTGGGGACAGTCAGATTTTCAGTTGGAGGGAGATGACGAGCAGTGATGCACCCTGGCCCCGCAATCAATTGATCAGAAGCCGCATCAATATGACGTAGCAAGCTGCTTGAGCTGACAAAGCAGCCTCAATTGATCTGGCACGTGATGAAGAGCTTCGGACCGGAATCCAATTTCGGAGTTCATTCCCTCTTTGTGGCTCTAACTCCTTTCATTTCGGCGAAATTCAGCACGGACTAAAGTAATAAATTAACATAGAGCTCAATGGTCACCATATCAACAGGAGGTTCAATTTATTTATCTCCTTCTGATCTGATTTACACTTAGTATAAAATACCTGTAGTACAGTACAAAAAACAAGAAATCTTCTTCACCCACTCTCTAGAGTCTAAAGCGACCTCCCAGTGCTTTCTATCTCGCTTTTGTGACGCCCACTTCTGCGTTATTTCCCCAACATCGCGCCCGAAACTCCCATTTCGTGCTACAGACATACATATTGATCTCCCCGTCGTTCTATCGTGCTCTCGCCCTGTCCTCCGTCGTCATTATCGTCCCATCGCCCGTTCTATTGTCCCTTTGCTCCCCCTGTTGCTCACTGCTGCCCCCGCCCATTTCAGTTGAGCCCATTTCCCCGAGCCTGACCTTGTTAGGATCAGAATCCCACACACAAATACTGCGCGAGCCAGAGCCGCAGCTCACTCCCCTCGACCTCCGACTACTCCCTTGTATCTCCCTGTACGGCTGCGCGCTCATACGCCCCGTAGGCGTGTCAACGTGAGCTCCTCAAGGAACGCGGAGTTCGCTCTGCTTGGGCTGCGGAGTGGCAAAAAGAGGGCAGCCTGCTCTACTTCTGAGGCAAGCTGGTGGTCCACACAACAACGACCTCTGCCAACGCATCCTTGAGCAGCACCACAATACTCGCGTCGCTGGGCATGCTGGCCACTTCAAGACGTTGGAGCTTGTCTCCCGGAACTACTGGTGGCCCCAGATGTCCTGACACGTCGGCCGGTATGTGGCCACCTGCGACCTGTGCCGCCAAACCAAGGCGCTCCGTCAACTCCTAATTGGGGAACTCCATCCCACGGAGGTCCCTTCGGAGCGCTGGGAAGCGGTGTCGGTTGATTTCATTGTGCAACTGCCAGATGCCCACAGATATGACGCCATCATGGTCGTTGTTGACATGCTTGGGAAGCGTGCCCACTTTATCGAGTGCCACAGCCTTCTCTCTGGTGAGGGTGCAGCCCAGCTCTTCTACAAGCACGTCTGGCGCCACCATGGGCTCCCCACCAAGTATGTCTCTGACCGGGGCTCTCAGTTCATAGCGGACTTCACCCAGGAGCTGTGGAAGCTGGTTGGTGTCTTGCCAGCCATGTCCACCGCTTACCATCTGCAGACTGACGGGCAGACTGAGCGTGTCAATCAGGAGCTTGAACAGTTCCTCTGGATCTTCACCAGCTACAGCCAGGACGACTGGGACGAGCTGCTCCCTGCTGCGGAGTTTGCTTACAACAATCATGTCCACTCCTCAACACAGCAAGTCCCGTTCATGACGGACACCGGTCGGCTCCCTCGTATGGGCTTCGAGCCGAATGGGCTGTACTCGGCTGTGAGCGAATCAGCAAACAAGTTCCGCGACCGAATTGCTTCCGGGGTGGCCGAAGCCAAGTCTGCGCTGGTGAAGGCTAAAGAGGAGTACAAGCAGTACTACGACCGCTGGAGGACCCCAGCTCCTGACATCAAGGTCGGAGATCAAGTTTGGCTTGATGCATCTGATATAGCAATGACGCACCCGTCCCTCAAACTCTCCCATCAACGTCTGGGTCCCTTCAAAGTCACCCAGGTTGTTGGGCGTGGCGCCTACAAGCTCGATCTCCCTCGCCGCCTCGCTTGTCTCCACCCGGTCTTCCCTGTTGTCAAGCTCCAACTTGCCGAGGACGACCCATTCCCGACACACCCTGTACGCAAGGAGCCACCACCAGTCATGGGTCAAGGGCCTGGCGAGGAGTGGGAAGTCAAAGAAATACTGGATGCCAAGATGCGCTACCGCAGCATTTGGTTCTTTGTGCGATGGAAAGGCTACGATCCATCCCACGACCAGTGGGTTAAGCACTCTGATATCTTTGCAGAGGATGCTGTAGCGGCGTTCTACCGCAAATACCCCGGCAATCCGCACATCATTGCTGCCACTGTCTTTGACTCCCTCCCTTTCCAGCACCCCTCTGCTACCATCCGCACGTTGCGTCGAGGCGCCGCAATCCAAGGGGGGGGTGATGTCAGGGGAACCCCCGCTTCGGACTGATCAGCCTGGGATTTGGCATGCGATTGCGCTTGGGTGACCTGTCAGCTGTCACGTGCAGCGGCCCGGACCGCCGCGCCGAGTGCTTCTCTCTAATGGCAGGTGGTGCCATTGTTCCTATTGTCTCCGTTCCTATTGTTCTGTCATGGCCATTGTACTTATTGTTCCCATTGTTCTTTGTTTGTCGCTGTGCGGTCTATTGTTCTTGTACCATATAAATAGTGGCACCTGGCAAGGAGAATCCCCAACACGGTTTCTCTTTGGATTCTCCCTTGCCAGGTATGCCGGTCTTGTACCTAGCTACCACTATTGATCACCTTTGGATTCTCCCTTGCCAGAACTCTGAGATTGGGTCTCGAGGTTGCCCTTACACCAGTCAACAACTGTGGATAGTGTCGATGATAGCAAGGCAGTCAGACCACTACTGTGGAATTGGTCTTATGAGTCTACACCAGGCTCAGGGCTATTAGTGACAAACACTTGGACCGCAACAATTTCCCAAAAGGGATCTTTGTTGTGGTGACTTCACAAAAGGGTCATTCTCTGCAGATGGGAACTTGGGTTGAAGGGCTAAGCAATGCGCAACATGCTCAACATTACAACTACTACTAGGCAGGACTTGGCGTTACAAGATTGAACCAATCTTGTCGCGGCAACTCCCGGTTTTGAGTTGGACGTTTCCTCAGATCATGCCACGGCGACAACTTGTCACATGTCAGGATCCATTTGATCACGGGACATTGTGGACGCGCCGCGGTGACACTTCCAAGTGTCACGGCGAGTTGCGCCCATACCCAAACACACTAAAATCGACACAGGCTAGATCCGTGAACCGAACCATGTGAGGAACGGCTGGTGTGCCTAGGGCCATACGGCTTCCTGGGGCACCCACGTTGGACTCATTTGCCAAGACATACCAGTTGGCCAATCCAGCACGTCGTATTCCAAAAGTATGACGCGGTGGGTTGAACCACATCAAAAGTACCATATGGACCATGGGGCGGGGTCCTGATCATTCAGGACCTGTCCGATCGTTCAACTTTTCATTACTCTAAAAGGCAACCGATCTTATCAATAGTACTTAGCAGGCCTGTTATACTGTACCAATCCAATCAGTTCAACAGTGGGTGTGACATGTGACATTTAAAACTAATTCGACAATTTGATAGATGCCTATGTAACCTGTGACATGTCAAATTTCTTTTGACAATTTGTAAATTTGCTTCCTGGGAGGACAGACACCCTGTACAGAGCAGCTCAGAGCCCACGAAGTGATTCTACGTGTGACAATCAACAAGAAAGAATGTCAAAAAGAGAAGTGAATTCGAAGACTGGAGAATACAACCAAGTAGCTACAGTATTTATACCCAAATCCAGTCTGAGTCATATCTACAACTAATGAGTCATAAGGCTATGTACCACATGGAGCACTGGTCATGGGTAGTAGTAGAACCTTCCGGAGCGTATGTTGCGCAGCCTTGCATTGATGAAGTAATCCCTAGACCCCTAGCCTGGACTGTCAGATGCCGTGATCTGTGATAAGATAATCCATGCCAAGATAAGATGAGATCGTCAATGATAAGACAAAAAAGGGTCGAATTATGACAACATCCAACTTGCAAACACCATCTCTGCTTGATTGCGTGTGTCCAGTATTTTACCTGAACGGTGACAAGGATCCAGATGAGGTCCAGTGCAAAGGTTGTTGGAAGTGGTCACATAACCGGTGTGTTGAGGTTCCCAGACAGGACATTACTAATCCATGGTTTTGCTTTCTCTGCCATAGATTCAATATCAAACCGGGAACGTTCATTCTTGTTCCATTTATGGATAATCTGTGGTATTCCGCTGCTGTTGTTTAACGAGAACCGATACGGCACAATAAAGCAGATGAGTATCTGCTGGAATGGTCAATCAATCTTGAAGGGGTCATTTTTCACGCTGAAGACTTGTGGGGAAATGCTGGTGCATTGGCTGATCTTCGGAGAATTTTCCAAAGTCACAAGTTTGTTTTCGAGACTCAGGAACAACTTTTCTGACGAGAGAAAGCAGTACGTGGTGTGAATCTCAAGGTGTAGAGACTTACATGAACAAATTAGATTGGAATGATTTGCCTGCTGTTCTTCATGAACCCCCATCCTGACTGCCATATCAATGCTTCCGTTTCGAAGATTTGTGCCAGAGCTGTGCCCAACCCTGGCAGTAGTATTTGGCTGCTGAGAGCAAACTAATGCTCTAGCAGGATCCATTGTAAAGGTTTTAAACTACTGACTAAAATATCTAGAGTATTCTACCTGTATCTAATGAGTTCCATGAATGTGTAATATTTTAGTAAGCAATAACCGAGATCCCCAAAAGGCCGATATGTCAATCTAATCTAATCTCCATCACTGTGATTTGTGACGCCGATTTCACTAGGGGTTCACAGGTTCACTCCTGCTCAAAACAATGATGATTTCATTCCCGCCGTGGCTGCATCCTCAATGCAGAATAAAATTGGAAACTTTGCAAGGACATATAAGCGACCTCAAACTGCGAGCCTGTCTAATTTCTAGGCCTTCGGCAGGTATGGTTGAAGGTGAGCAAGCTCAGATCAAATTGATTTCATCAGGGGGTAAATGATATTGAAATTGATAGACTCAGCCGCATTGATGAAATGATGCTGCTGGATGTGTCAGGCCCCGCGGGCCTTTGACGTGCTGATCATGGGACCTTCTGTCAATCCTCTCCTGACCGTCTTTTTCCAGGTCTAAGGGTGTGAATGAAACATCTACTGTATAAAATCCTGAGCCTAGCCAGACATTCATATCTTGAAGTAAGGATGAGCAATATATGTAAAGGATTATGGCTCGTTTAGTGTTAAAATTGTCCCCACGAAGCTTTCCATGTCATAAAACTATCTGAGACAAGACCAGGGGCTGGGAGAGACCTCAGCGCGTCGTCACCTTGACCGTGAGGTCTTTGAAAGGTGCCACTGTTGCTAATCATGTTGAGAACCGGTTCACTGGCACGTTTTATCAAGGGCAACTCATGAAGAACGGAAAGAGAGAAGTGCGCACTTTCTGAATGCGCGCATGCCAGTCATATACGCGTCAAGATACTGCGGTGGTGGTGCAGCTGTCGATTTCGTCACTGAGGTCATGTTGTTGAGATTGAGGATGTCGGCGGCTCTTCTCAGTCTTGACGAGAGCTCCATGGCCGAACAATGATGATCGGCCCCACTGAGACAGTGACAAGCGAGATTTCCATGCGATATCTCGTTACTGTAAGGCGGAAAAATAGATTCGAGATAGCCTGGGGCCTGACCTGAAGAGTGGGAGGAAGGATGAGGGCTCGTAAAGGACAGTTCCCTCTCGGGCGCATGTCGCAGCCAATGCTCCGCTGGAACGGAGGGACAAGTATCAGGCATCGTATGGCCGCGGCCAGATTCTGCAGTCGAATTCCGAGGCTCTTCTCTTTGCGTATGTGGGATAGTGGATGCCCTCAGCTATATCAGATCAGGTCAACTCTTGGGATATGAGAAGGGCCTGCTTCCGCACCTCTTCAACCATCCGTTCCAGCTCAGCAATGCGTGCCAGCAGCGCACTTTTGTCATGCTTGGGGGTGGGATCGAATCCGACTGCTGCATCTGTCTGATAAGTGCAATGAGAAGCCTGCATCCAACGCTCAAACCAGCAGTTCTATTGAATAGCAGAGACAGCGTACCATCCCTGACTGAACACAGCGTGTGCAAGGTCGCTTCCTGTCGCACTTGAAAGTATGAGCCGGACTCAGAGTGCGATAGGTGATGAAACTGCACCATACGCTTGGTAGCATGGCAGTTTAGGCACGAGTGAGTTGTTCTGTTGCGACGCCTGGAAATTGCTCAGCAGAAGGCCCAACCGAGCGGCGCAGAATGGGTACCGCTTTCTGCGATCTTCTTCGCCGCCTGGAACAGGAGCCAAAGTCTGGGATGCGGGCATTGGACAGAACTTGAGGAAGGCTTAGTTCGCGACGCGTTTTATTTGTCCGGAAGGCAACACCTGCGGCTTCAGGAAGAGAGGAGAAGGGGAGGCGACTGGAATGGACAGCGTGGCATGCCTGATTCGTCATCGATCCTGACAGTTCGGATAAACTCGTTAGAATTCTGAAAAAGATATTGCACTCTAGCCTGCTGGTTCTCGCCCGGCTCAAGAGGATGGTCCTGATTTGAGAGATTTGGCAGCTGTACCGAAGACAGTCAAGGTGCCAGATCTGTCATACTGTACACATGTGAGATAAGTCATGCAAGATATTTTCCCTGATGAAATCCTCCAGCTTCGTCCTTCCGACAACTCTTCATCAAATGTTTTGTCCTTCACCTCGGAAGCAAAAAAAGAGCACCGGACACCCTTCTGCGTCTCCTTAAGGTCTTGAAACATGCGATTCGTGGCTTTTACCGGAGAAGGTGCTCACGAGACTGTAGGGACTGGTGGAAACCAGCTTCGGAAGTCACGCGCGAGGCGCTGTATGCGGACACCAGTGGACACGCTCAATGATCTGCACTACCGCAAATGTCAATCACGGAGCTACCTGAGCAGCACCGCCGGGAGGAGAGAAACTATCACGAAGTGAGGCTTAGAGTGAGCTGGAGTTCAAAATCTGTGATACGGTGCAGTCTCAGAAAGTTTCACGGCACATCTCGGTCCACGGAAAATACACGTTGACGGTCACCAATATCAACGACCGACTATTCATCATTTCTACGCCGCGAAAAGTCATGGAAATCACACATGGTCCAACGTAGGTCCTGGCACTGAGGAACTCGACATGCCATATTCACTTCTCGGACAAGATTACCGGTGTCGCGGCGCCATTCTGGGAAGATTCGAACCTATTGAGAGCCAAGTCGCAACGCGCTAGAATTCTTATCTTTGATCCAACCACGGATGCGCCTAGTTCAAAACAACGTAATCATTGATCAAAGGCCAAAGCGTTCGATAATCATCCGATCGGAACTTTGGCCGTCACAGAATCATGCACGAGATCAGCGTCAACTTCTCAATCTGGATGAACAAGATCTGTATTCTAACTCGATAGCTCGGCGGGCCACAAGATACTTGCATGGGGCGAAGTGAGGCTCACATTTGATCGAGCTACTCATTGCGCTCAAAAGAGCCAGAGTTCAAGTAGAGCCTAGGTCGGCTCCCCGTAAGAATGAATGAAGCCAAGCCAAGCATATCGGCACTCAACTGCCAAGGTGGAGATCTGGGTCGTTTGAAAAACTCGTGGATTTCTAATTGAAAAATAAGCTCAGCCCATGAGCAGAGGAGTGAGTAAACATCGCCGAAGTCCCGCCCGAGGTTTACGCTTCAGGTATTGCTAATTTTCGGCGCGCACCCTTGTCCACGACAGATCAAACATCCAGAGAAGTAGTCGACCCTCAAGCGCTGTACGGAATAAAGTTTTCAGTTCCATGGGGTACTGGTACCACATGCAACAACGACTAAGTGTGCATTGTGGTTGGAATCTAAAATAGAACTGGTATGTCGTAAGCAAACGACTCTTGCCGCATATCGATGCATGGCCGGGCGGATGAGGGGCCAAGATCTCAGAGATGAATGGCTGTCCAGAATAAGTGTCATGTACGTAGCATGCAGTTTCTTCAGGGCCTGTGTAAAGCTGTCTCTTGTTCAGTGCAAGATATTCTCCTCCGAGCCCAATGATGGTCATCGGGATCTCGACTCGGCCACAAAGACCCTCAGGCGGTACAGATCACGTGTCCTATCGAGAGGGCATGAGTTCGAATCTGGATGGATAATTGATTTAATATACATAATTGGGTGTCAGGTATTGGTACATATCCGCTTCGGATTTTTCTTAACCAAGTCGGCATAGTATAATGGTTACATTAACTATTGAGATCAGATTAATGCTAAGGTGTGTAGTTCGAGTTTCTCTCGTGGAATTTATTTTACATTTTGCACGATGCAGTGTCGTTGCCGGATCAGACCGAGATATGATGTGGGCGCCTTGATCTGCGAGATCTTCGCTCTTTTTTTTTGTGCGCGACAATGAGCAGCAACGGCTCAGGTGAGTTACATGATCATAATCCCTCTCTCTGACTAGAGTTCTATCAGATCCTGTTGTTAAATGCAGCCGATGCAAATACACTGGGCCCCAATCATCTTTTCCACGCCTGGCAAATTTTACGTACACGAAACACTGCCACGATTGTGCGAAGATCCGGAAAGGACGCGGAAAGAAGAACACAGCAACTACAGATACTTCAGAGAGAGTCCGTGACACGCGCGGCAAAGACACCTCCGGGGAACCAATGCCTCAGCTGAGTCTTGCCCAATGCCTGTCCCTGCTCGAAAAACATCGATCGGACGCGTTTGAGCTTCATGCACAAGTCAACATTGGCAAGTTGGCCATCCCTGAGGGAAAAGGGCGGACTGCAAAAACTCTTGCATCGGCATTCGCAAGATCTGCCTGGGATTCTACTGGCTATCGATGGAAGTGAGTATCTCTTGTCCACTGTAAAGTCTGCTTATTTATTACTGGTCTGTAATCAGCCTCCGAATGCATCGTCCTCTCACTAGTGACTCTGCCACAATTAACTCGGAGTTTTACTGTGCGCAATTGGAGGGGGAGCAGACAGACAACAAGCTACATGAAGATGAATCAAAGCAGCGTGCACGTGTCAAGATGACGCGCTACCACTGCAATGGGTGGCTTAATGTCACCATCAATGAGAGGAAAATGGATGAGGCGGTCATCCGTGTATCACACCACATTCCACATCCCCTATACAACGACATTTCGATTCCTACCGAAGCAAAGAAGATAATCGAAACTTCACACAACTCTACCCCAACCAAGGTAATTACATTAACAAATTTGTGCCATACTGACTCTCACCGAAATCTCATAGATCTACGAGGCTCTGATCAAGCAATTCCCGGCCATTAAAATCACCGAGAAACAAGTCTACCGTCATTGGAGTGACATCAACAAGGCCAACTGGCGCAAGAAGGATGATCAGGTTGCGTCCGCAGCTGCTCTGCTTGCGGAATATGATGGACTTGCAGTTGATGTCATTGAAATTAAACCGGAAGACGGGCTGTCTACAATCGCATTCAGTTTCCGTGACATTATCAACGACTTTGGTGTGGACACACAGTCAATTGCAATGGATTCCACTTGTGAGTGTCGCGTTTCTTGGTTCAATCTTCAATTCCAGCTGATCACAGTCTCAGGGAAAACAAATGCAGCTGGGTACGAGCTGTATGCGATTGTAGCGGAGGCTAATGGCACAGCGCTTCCACTTGCATTCGTGTTCACAACCTCCTCTGGTAATCTTGCCGAAGGTGCCAAGACCCGAATGCTTGAGCAGGTCCTTCAAGCAGTGGGCAAAAAATGCCCCAATATCTGCTTTGTTCATTCGGACAAGGATCTCAGTGAGATTAATGCTGCTCAGTCAGTCTTCCCGGATGCAAAACACCAGTTATGCATGTGGCACGGGCCGCGATATGTCAAAGAGCGGCTCGCTGAGAATAAGCTGCCGGCCCATTATGATCCAAGGAAGGCGCATCAGCGTTTTTCGTTCATCGACCCAACATGGGCTCCTGGTGTAATGCGCCGTGTCTTCGATGACTCTGAGGATGAATCCGACCCAGAAGATGATGACAACGGGCCGAAGGTCACTGGATATTTATTTTATTTATTTTCCTTTACTCAAATCGTCGCCAGAGTTACACATCCTTACCTCCCTTGTTTATACTGGTTCAAGATGGTGTCCGACGTCCTGTCTATCCGAATCCGCCCAAGCCGCAGAAGGCTGATCTGGGCGAGTTCTGTCCGGCGGAATTTCGGGAATTGACTCTCGATCTCTACACAATCCATGGTCGCCTTCATCCCGAAATTCCCATCAACGACACAGATGAACCCTATCTTTCAGCAGATGACCTCTACAAGTCTGCCGTTTATGATATGTATTTCCACTGCTGGGACAACGACCTCGTCCAGGTTTGGGCATATATGTGGAATCGCTGGTACTCTCCCTCGCAATGGGTGCTCTGGGCCCGAGCGCCCGAAGCGGCCATTCCCAGGATCCACACAACGATGATTGTCGAGAGCTTGTGGAAGCACATCAAGCATCGAGATTTATCTGATTTCAACCGCCCTCGACTGGATCTCGTCACCTACATCATCATTCAAAATCTCCTCCCGCGTGTTCAGCGCAATCTCGAGGATCTCCAGCAGAGTCGCCGAATGGGGCGAGGTCCTTCGCTCGTTGGTTGGCAGAAGGATTTTCGAATGGCTTGGACTGAGCTGAGCAAGTCTGATTCTCAACATCGGATTGATCGCGCTGCCGACTGGGTTCAGAACGCGAAGAATGCGAATGATCGGGAACACCGTTTGGCTCGAATTGCTGCCAACGCTGGTCGGACCGCAGGTAATTATATCACGGATCTGCAGAAATGGGTTTGCAGCTGCCCCGCATTCCTTTACAGTCGGTTCATGCTCTGCAAGCATCTCGTCCATTACACTAATGAAGCCCTGGACAATAAACCACTTAAAGATCTCGCAATGTTCGCCAATCTACGGCGAAACCATCTCCCTCCCTATTATCGCATTCCCGGGATTCATGGTGACGAGTCTGCCGTTGACAGTGATGGGCCCGAGGATATGCCGGAGATCCACATCCTCGGACGTGGTATTTCTCGCTCTCAATCCGTGTCCTCCATGGCCCGGTCATCTGTGATGGACAGCGAGAACGAGGTGGACGATTTTCTGACTACAACTGTCAGTGCGAGGAATTCAGATATGGAGATGGATGAAGATGGAAGCGAGGAGTTCGATATCAATTCCGAGACCAGAGACTCTGCTGATCGGCAGATCCGTGCTCTTGCATCGGACGATGAGGATGGCTCAAATGATCGCGTATTTCATTCTTACTGGAATTGAGTTTTGATAAATCACTGATATCTTCTCTCAGGTTTATCTTTCCGAAGCTGAACTCAAGTCGATCAAGCGAAATATTAATGCCGTCTATGACACCATCTCGCAAACGACTGGCATGGCTGCACCACTGGCCAAGGCACTCTTGCCAAAAGTGAATGCACTCGACAAGATAGGGAAACAAATCAGAGAAAACAAGCGCAGACGTAAAATGCCTCGCACTTACAAAGACAGTACTAATATTACGCTTACCCTAGACTGAAAGCGTAGTATGTACTTTACTTACAAACTCCACGAAATAAATGCAATGACCAGTCTGACTCGAAACTATGCCCTCCCTGTATATCACGTGATCTGTACCAGCTGAGGGTCTTCGTGCACTTGTCCGGGATCTCGCCCCCCCTGCAGCGCATCGCATCAAGAAGACTCCATGTACGTTGAACGTCACCGCATGCGAAGCTATTAAATCCGTTCCCGTGAAACATTTTCGGCCGTGGAACGAAGGGGATTACTTCACGCAAGGAAATGCTCATTGGACTGATTCAAGCGTACCCCGCATTGATTTTGGTCTTGAGACAATCTTCAGGGTGACTAACGCCTCTCATCCGGAATATTTTCTCATCCCCGCTCCACGAGAAGTTTGGGTGCCAGCCCAGGGTCTGCTCCCGCATTTGATCGGCTACAAGAATGCTCCCTGTCAACATACAACTTTCGGCCTTCTTCCGCCTTCCTTAATTTCCCGTGACTTCTCCAATACCGAGCATGTGTTAGGAGACGGATACTCCGGAATTGGTCTGTCGAAATACATACCTTCGGTTCATACGAATGTTAGTGGATTCTTAGCTATTTATTCCGTTCTGAGGTTCTCAACAATTCTTATCCTACCGTTCTGGTTCCTCTAGTCAAATTTGACTACATTCTACCATGCTAATTTATCCAACACTATGCTACAGGTCGTCTACCGCTGCCAATTTCAGCTCACAAAAGTGTTCTTGGGATTGACTATCCGTCATCGCATGCGCTTGGAAGCGGTGTTGCGATGAGGCATGATGCTGTTATAAAGCATGTGGTCGGTTGCGCAAAACGATCCGTCCCGAGCGGTGAAGCGCCACGGGAACAGGACTACACAAAATGGGATCTTCGGGTCCGAAAAATGATTGCATTCTAGATTACCGAGGATCAGTGATATGCGAATTTCTTTAGTCCCACCGAAGAGCTTACATTTTGCACAATAGCGATGCATTTTGTCATCAATAAACAGCAATCCTGATCACGACTTGGTCCTTTCTCTTTCTCTCAGAAACGCTAGGAAACATGGAACACTCTGGACAGACGAGCTCGATAGCCTGTGAGTCGTACGATTGGGTGCACTTGAAGCACCGAAGTGGTACGCGGCTTGTTTACATGAATCCCAGATGTCTCATTCCCGCCGCCAGATTCTTTCGCTGTCTTATCGAGGGCGTATGATTCTACCGACGCTTTTTCTTCGCCTCAGTATCCTCCTGTGCATGGTGATTTTAGTTCCCAGGATCTCGATTTTTCTGGCCTCACGGGAATGATATGTAGCTCGAAGCGACATGTCGAATAACGACTTCAAGAGGACACCCGCGCACCAAGAATGGGCTCCCGATCCTGCCTGGTGGCCAGTTCATCATTGGCATGTGCAGCGGCCATCTCAGTGGGAGCTCTCTCCCAGCTCCCTTGCCTCCGCCTTTCCCTGTTCTGCTGATTCGCAGCCCAGGGATCCGCCAGAATCATATCCCGAATCTTGCGACCCTCCCACCTCGCAATCACTCAAAGCTTGCGCCCACTGCGCAGTAACTTCGACGCCGCTCTGGCGGCGAGAACGTGGCACTGGCGAATTGCTGTGCAACGCGTGTGGACTGTATCTGCTTCAGCGAAACGTTCCCCGGCCACTTTCCCTCATTGAGGCGGACATGGGGCCCCTCTCTGTGAACGCGCAGATTCCCGACTATGAATACTCCGGACCAATGTGTTCCAACTGCAGAACTCGCGTGACTAGCGTTTGGAGGAAGAACATTCGCGGCCTGGTGGTGTGCAATGCGTGCGGTGTTTGGGAGAGGCTCAAGGGAGGCGCACGGCCAATCGAGTTAAGGCGGGATAATATCAAGCCGCGCACGAGGCATGCGAGGAAGGTGTTTAGGCTGAAATGACGCGAACTACGTGGTCTACATAACGTCAAACGCCCATAGAGGAGAAGACTACTTACTCTTAGAATATCTTTCCGATTGTCATCCATCATAAAGAGGAAAACTTGTATATTCGAAGGGAAAAGATTGACTCGCTGTCGTGAGAGGCTGCGGGCATTAGTGATGCCGCCGCAATTCGGGCAAGTTCCATTTCTACAAAAATTGTCGAACCTCGAACCAGGTGCCGAGGTCAGTTCACTCTTTGCTCAAATCGTGGACTTCACGGCCGTTGGTCCATGTGGTCTGGTCGTACGTGCGGACCGGTTCGGACCGTATTTTTTCTAATCAGGCCCGTTTTGATTCATTGCGCATTGGTAAGCTCATCAGGTGCTGATGCCTATCAAGCCAATCATCCTTCCCGTATGGTCTCGGGGCTGCGTGTAGACGTACTGGATCTCAGTACCCCGCTCCTGCGGCCCGTTTATTTTGCAGGTGAAATTAAAGTGAACGTGATTTTTGGCATTTACGACATGTATTGAATAAGCTGCGACCAGAGGGTTGCCGTATCTTTCAGTCATACCCCTGGTATCCGACGACGTCAAATTCCCGATGCCCATTTTTTTTACATCGCACGCCATCCACTCAATCCGCTAGTGTGGTACATGGTCGGTGGTAGAACGACCCCCGAGGTCGCGCCTTTTGAAATATACAACGTTCCTAGCGACACATGTCCATCCCAGAGAGATTTCAAGAATCGGCGCGGGCAGTCATGAATTCAATGAAGAGGCTAATTGAGAGCCACGAAGTGTGCTGCGCCGAGCGGGATATTTGGGTACTCCGACGGTGCGTATTTCTCCTTGTGCGACCCCGGGGTGCTCCCCAATCCAAGGTGGGTCGAGGAGATGCGCGGAAACTTTTCAAGGCGGGCAGAAGCCATGAGTGCTGAAAGAGGGAGCCATTTGGCGGATGTACTTTCTGAAAACATCCCATGAATGAGTCCCAGATCGAAAAGCAAAGGCGCACCCACCTCGGTCCTCATCCCCAGGATACTTGTCCGTCCATTCTACCAGTTTCCCGTAGATTCAGGGCGGCGGCACTAAAAGAGATTTGACTAGCGCATGTCCCACAGTTCGTGGTCGCGTTGATTGCCAGCGAAATATTCTCCCCCGTGGCTGTTGAACGATTGAGGACGCCCCAGGCCCCCCTTTTCTCTTCTGAGTCTCTATTTTCCACAGGGAAGACAGTCGAAGAAGCAGTTCGGAGTAGAGCGTCTCCAGGTGGCCCACGTAACGGGAAATTGGGGTTTCCCTCCTTGGTGCATCGATGACTTCCAATGAAGAATTGGTGTAGTACCAGCAACTCGCGTGCTCGTGGCTATCAAGCTTTGCACGGCGACGTGCGTGATCTTTGAGATTGAGAATGGAAACACCAAACAACTTGAATTCACATACCAAGTAGATCAATTCACCTTACATGCCTGCGTAACGCGTCTTATGAGAAGGTGAGAAGACAAAAGACGCTGAAACTCGGCATCGCGTACCCTATTTGTTATAGCCTGATGCCAGCAGTACAGCTTTGGGCCCGAACGAAGTCGTGTCAGGCCCTTAGTCTCAAGAGATGGCTCCAGTAATCGAGTTCAGCCGCCTGCCTAACTGGAAACCTCTTCTTTCTCCAGGCCTCTGAGAATCCGTGCCCCGGGAGACGTATTCCAATGACGCGAAAACTCGGGCGCTCAGTCGATCGCACTGCGAGCAATGTAATAATCTTTTCTAACTTGAAAAGCAGCCCATGAGCCTCAGTCTGCATCCGACGTCGCGAAAGTAAACGCACGTCGGTGAAGGAATATCTGCGGGATGCTTGTTTGATGGATGTCGTGGGCCTTGCGGATATTGGCGTCCCGGGTCCGTCAATAGTCACTTTGCACGTAAATTGAGGTGGTCCTGGGTACACAGAGCAGCTTTTTGCTCCCGTCAGTTGCAGTCATCGATCCATTGAGCAACGAGCCTCTCGAGTCCGTCATACGCACTATATAGCCCCATAATGGCTTGTCCAACTTCTCTTGAGTGCTTTCGGCCTTGGCTGCATGACGGTTTGGATGGGGTTGTTGATGATGCATCATCAGGAAATAAGACAACCGCGTATCAGGACTGATGGCGATCACGAGATCATCAACGACGCTAATGCGCAGATGCAGCTCATCAGCTGCTCACGAGCTGCGTCGAGTCCGTCGCGGGACTCGTCAGCAGGCAAGCAGTCTCGCTCGTGGCCATCAGACTACTCGGTGTTGGGGCAGCCAAAAGCAGACTCATGGGCCTCTCATCCATTCATATTAGCACGGCTAGTTTTCATGAGTACTAGACAGCCAATACCGTGACAATTAGTAAGGACTCTCCGGGTCGAGAATATTGTGACGATTCAATTTGAGTACATGATGAGCAATAGCCTCGAGTAAATGCTCAATCTCAACTTGTACATCCCCACACAATTCTTGATCTGACCAGGATCACTCATTAAGATATGCAACATGTATTATGCACTGTTCTGAGAGTATATACGGAGAGTGTGCGAATGCGAATCTGCATCGGCATTTGATTCACATCCTGATGGTGAATCGCACTTCATCAAACCTCGCCTAGTGCCCGCTTATTCTGTCGGGATCTTGTACTTGTTCTGTATTAGTCATGTCAATAAGTACACTGACCATCATTCACATGAGATCGCTTTCTAAATTAAATGAATTTTATATGCACTTGTCATAATTGTTTGTTTGGGCGATATAGTGTCTAGAAAAAACATTTTGTGAAAAATCTTCCTATGTTTAAGTTGGTATCAGAATCAGAATCCCGACTAAGCACCTAAGTTGCCACATCCCATCTGAGGAACTCAGCTGCAAAATTCTGTCTAAGAGCATTGAGCAGCAGAAACTTCTGACTATCAGTGACACCCCAGGGACCTCCAGTTATTACGTAAAATGGCTTCGAGGCCCCCTCCGGAGGCCATCAAACCACCCCCTACCCCCCTGATCGGAGGCCATCCTGGAGGCGCCTTCCTAATTGGTACACTACCTGGCTATTCATCCACGGCCAGCATGGTAGGCTAGGCATTGACCCGAGTGTTGATATGTGCTGTAGTAGTGAGTATGAAGTCTCAGACAATGTCTTAGCTCACAAAAGCTTGTATTTCTTGCTTGCAAATGGCAGACCACTGGGCGCACAAAATTCGGGATTTGAGCACATGAGCACTCCTCAGGTGCATAGAGCAACAGTATATATATTAATTTGAGATTGAGCATGAGGTAGCTGTGCCCACACGCAAAAAATGAGATGTTGCTGAAGGGATGGTTTATGGCCTCCACGACCTCCCAGGGGCAGAAAAAAAGGTGTTGGGTAGCCCACAGGCCCTTGAATTCCGCTTCAATAGATCAATTTGATGCTTATGCTTTGTCAAAACAACAGCCCAGGATATAAATTAGATGCTGGTGCAGTGGCAGAACTAGCCTCCACCACCTCCAGGGCTGGGGACCAAAAGCGGTTATTGTAGATTCAGCCATATAAACCATATTTCTGATGTTGTTTGTCCTAGTCAGAATGTCTGGGTATTCCAGAGAGACAGGTGGCTACATAGATCAGATGCTAGCAGCAATAGCAGAACTGGCCTCCATGGCCTCCACAGCCAGTGACCAAAAGCGGTTTTTTGGATCAATCAGCCAATGATCGGTGATGCTCTTGATGCTATTGATGGCATTGATAGCATTGATGATATTGATTGGATCTTGCATGTGCCTCCAGTGCCTCCAGGGTCCCCCATTCTCTGAATTCAACATTCTATTGCAATCAAACTAGCATGCAGAGGTAGAAATAGCAGAACATAGTTATCTATGAGAACATCTATCTGTTACATTGTCATCTCATTCAGACTCTTCAAGTGATAACCTGTGGAGGCAGCAGAGGCCAGTTCTGCCATTTGCTCCAGCATCTGATTCACGTGGTGAGACATCTAACTAAAGGACCCTCATAATTATAATGAAGACCTTCAACTTCATAGACATGGTTTATGTGGCTGAACCCAAAAAACCGCTTTTGGTCACTGGCTGTGGAGGCCATGGAGGCCAGTTCTGCTATTGCTGCTAGCATCTGATCTATGTAGCCACCTGTCTCTCTGGAATACCCAGACATTCTGACTAGGACAAACAACATCAGAAATATGGTTTATATGGCTGAATCTACAATAACCGCTTTTGGTCCCCAGCCCTGGAGGTGGTGGAGGCTAGTTCTGCCACTGCACCAGCATCTAATTTATATCCTGGGCTGTTGTTTTGACAAAGCATAAGCATCAAATTGATCTATTGAAGCGGAATTCAAGGGCCTGTGGGCTACCCAACACCTTTTTTTCTGCCCCTGGGAGGTCGTGGAGGCCATAAACCATCCCTTCAGCAACATCTCATTTTTTGCGTGTGGGCACAGCTACCTCATGCTCAATCTCAAATTAATATATATACTGTTGCTCTATGCACCTGAGGAGTGCTCATGTGCTCAAATCCCAAATTTTGTGCGCCCAGTGGTCTGCCATTTGCAAGCAAGAAATACAAGCTTTTGTGAGCTAAGACATTGTCTGAGACTTCATACTCACTACTACAGCACATATCAACACTCGGGTCAATGCCTAGCCTACCATGCTGGCCGTGGATGAATAGCCAGGTAGTGTACCAATTAGGAAGGCGCCTCCAGGATGGCCTCCGATCAGGGGGGGTAGGGGGCGGTTTGATGGCCTCCGGAGGGGGCCTCGAAGCCATTTTACGTAATAACTGGAGGTCCCTGGGGTGTCACTGATAGTCATCACAAAATTCCAGCTACTCAAACTATTATTCCTGTACTCAGGCAGCAAGTACTGCCTAGGAATAGCACATTCCCAAAATCTCAGTGTAATTGAATGACCTGGTCACCCAAGAGACTTGACCAAATCAAGGACAAACAAAGAAAGCAGGGAGCGTTCAAGAGAAATACTAGCTACTCAAATTGTTATTCTTGTACTCAGGCAGCAAGTACTGCCTAGGAATAGCACATTCCTAAAATCTCAGTGTAATTGAATGACCTGGTCACCCAAGACGCTTGACCAAATCAAGGACAAATACAGCTTTACACCTTTCAAGAGAATTTGTTTTATGTGCTGACACCATCAATGTGTAAATGTTACCGTCAGAATGCGATTTGTGCAATCGCATTCACACACTCTGTGTCATTCCTCACTGTTCTGACTAGAGGCCTGCATAGCCTGTGTCTTCATGATCATCTTCGCCATTGTCTGCACCAAAATCGTCCTCCTCTACCTCCTCTTCATCCTTGTCCTTGTCCTTGTCCTCCTTGTCCTCCTTGTCCTCCTCCGAGTCGTCTTCATCCTCCTTGTCTTCCTCTGGTGTGTCTTCCTTGTCCTCCTGATCTTCATCTTCGTCTGGTTCATCTGCATCCTCCTCTTCTGTCTCCGGTTGTACAGACAGATGCCCAATTCCCCCTCCAAAGTATCGCATGACCATATCACGATCAAGGAATCTGAGCTCCCTGTGAGCTACAATTCTCAATGAATAAGGAAGAACCTACATGTTCACATAGAATGAGGCCCAATCACTTGTCTCATCCACGGATCTTGCCGCCGTCTTCTTCATTGTGCTGAGAAGAGAGTTTGTCCGGCCGCCACTGAAATCCGGTATTAGATGGCAGCCGCGAACAACGTAAGCTGGATCCAAAAAGCCAAATGCGAGCAAATCCGACTCTTCTACAAAGCCAACCTTAGGCAGGCGTGCATTCTTGAAACCAGCTCGATGCCCAGGCTCTATTCCCAGCCATCGCACCCATAAGAAGTCGTACGTTCTTGTGGCGGAGACCAAACTTGAGGAGATACAAGCAGATGTATGGAAGACGCCAAGAACTTGCGCATACCAGTATGGATGTGCATCAGACTGCGTTTCCGGTGAGCGCACCATTACAAATGCTGACATTCGTGGGTTGATGATGTCTTGCTCCCGGCGCACATTGTATGTAGTGTAGTTGACTCGAAGCGTCTTGGTGGTATATAAGTGATTGCCAATGATTTGAACACTTTGCCGGTCTATTGCCTTGAAGGAGTCATGAGTGTCGCCATCGAACTCGCGATCCAGCAGACGGCCGAGGAGATGGTCTTGTAGCTTGGGCACAAAGTTCTAATGCAACTGTTAGTACTTGGCAATGTAGGGCTACTTCCTGACAGTAACAAACACGGACCTTGAGCGCCGGATCTCCAGTGATTGCATAACTGAACCTATTGATGTACAAGGGATATCTTCGAACTCGACTCGTTGCGTGATGGGCATGGTTATCGGTCATAGTGAAGGGATCAGGTTGATCAAACCCTACGAGGTGGAAATGGCGCATTTTCTTGGCCTCTCGAATGCGTTGTGAAACACGAGCACAAGCCATTCAAGTAACACGGACCCCAATTTGACCTGCATGATTCCGCTTGTTGGTCATACCATAGAGACGCTTCACAACGCGATGCAGACTCTCTCCCTGGCATTGTCCATTTGTCAGATTTCTCACTCCGGATGTGAATACTGATGGAGCTGACCACTTGTGTCGAATAGTTATCCGTAGGCCCAAACAGGCGGATGAAATTCACATAGTCACCAAGACTATGCCACTTGTACGTGGCCAGATTCAAGCCCTTTTCACTTTTATTACGCCTCGTTTGTTTTGAAGGAGCGGTCGAGCCTGAAGCAGCCTTTGCTTGTGCGTCTCTCTGCTCCTGTCTTGCCCGAGCAGCCGCCTCTCGTGGCAGCTCCTTCGTTGTGTACTTCAAGCATGTCTTGGATTGGAACACCCTCATCAGACGTCCCAGCTCCTCTGTACGTGCTTCAAGATGAGCCAGAGTAGATTCCGTATGCATTCGAAGTTTCGCAAATGAATGCCATTCTGCCATGCGGTAGAGAAGTTTGAGAATATGTTTATTGTCTTCACTGTCGGGAAATAGGCCATCGAAAACGGGGATGGAGCAAAGCAGCAGATCTTCGAAGTCGCGGGCGCTGAGCTTCTTCATCTCCAAAGCATTAGTGGCAAATCGACGGATAGTGTCGCGTCCGAATCGTGGTATTTGACGATAGCTGATTGCCAGTCAGGTTAGACCATTGGTCCAGACTTATCACTTACCGTAAATCGAGCTCCGAAACCAGACTTGCCCCACTCGGCTGGGTGTAGAGAAGACGAATGAGGTGCGTGAACAGTGACTTCCAAACTCCCAGCTCAAACTCGTGCAAGAAGTCGACCACCAGCATTCGATGTAAGTTGAAGGACGCCCCGAGACAAGTAATAAACGCATTCTGAGATCGCATTAGTATCCAGGGATTGGACCAAAAGATCAGACATACTTCGATTGGCACGGACAATGTCTTTTTAAGCAAACCCTCCACCATGGCAGATTTGATACCGTAACCTCGCATATAGATCCAATTGCGGGCATCACGAACAGCCCAGGCAAGATATTGCCGTGCATTGCTGAACTGTTTGTTGATATCCCTGACCATACCCATACGATGTGCCTCTGACTTCTTGACCAGACATCGCGGACACAAGCAAGCTCCGCCTTCTCGTATTGTTGCTAGTAGCACTCTGCAATAGCAGTCAGCTTTGTAGGGCAGACTATCAGTACTGATCTGCACGTACTTCTCAGGGTAATCCGCGGAGTACGTGAAGAAACGTGGATAAACGCGGCGCTTTATGCCATCAGCACAGGTAATAACAATACCGTAGTGATACGCATGCAGAAATTCGTTGTCAAGGAGCTGTTTCCAGACTGCCTGGAAGAGCACACGACAGCAGAAGGCAAGTACATCTTTCCGCTGATTTGGACTATCCCATTTCGTGTGAAACTGAGCTAACTCGTCTTGGAAGGAATCTGGTAACTAGGATAAGTCGTCAGCATTGTCACGGTTTGACTTGTTCTGCCAGTTGAGGAACTGACCAACGGAATGTACGCTAGATGATGTTCAGCACCGAATCCCGGCTTGGATTGCATGTATTTGCTGAGATTCCTGAATAGGACGTAGATGGGCCAGAGCTTTGCAATGCCGAAATTCGTGAGATGAGTGCTGTCCGACCATTGCATCATTGCTGCAATGACCTTCTCCAGCTTACAATCTGGCTCATCTGGCGGCAGTTCGCCCATCCGCTGGATCTTGTCATGCTCTTCAATGAAGGCGTCGGAGTTATAGACTTCTGTGTAGACACGCATATTGTTGTGGTACAGTTTGAAGGGCGAGAAATGGAAGTGGGCCGATATTGGATCTGCAAACGCCGCCTTGATCACGGACGTCAGACTTCGAAACTGCAGTCCCGGTATTGCAAAGCTCCTTGACGGTACATCGGGCAATCCTGATGGCACAGTGATTGTGACCGATGCCGTCTTCATGTTCGCAAGAAACAGCAGACATCCTTGGGCTTCTTGGTCGGCTTCCTTATCAGCTTGCGCAGCACTTGTTCCGACCAACTCGGCAGCCTCAAAGTCTTGGTGAGTGATCACATCAATGAGTTCGTTGAACTGCTGCTTTGTCTTCTTGATGCTGCTGTTGTTAAACCAGCCCCACAAAGCTCGAAGGCTTCTGTTCGCTATTGGCCCGGGCGCTGCTTCTACAGCAGCCTGAGTGTCGGGATCGCCATCCAACGGATAGCAAGTCGAAAGATCTTCTGTATCAATATGCTCGTCGGGGTCGTACGTCGGCCGGTGTAGATAGCTTCGCCATAGACCAAAGACATTCGCCAGCGTTTGGTATGTGTCACGTACAATGAGTGTGACTCGAGGCACAGTTGATCCTCTGCCTGATGAGGATGATTGGGATGCGACCCCATCTCTCCGCTCCAACACTGGAGCTTCTCGTTGAACGGTGGTGAGAGGAACAGGGTTGTAATCTCGGAATCTGGCTGGGAGCGCACAAATTCGAGTTGGTCTATTTGCGGCACTGGCCCGGGTTGGCACAGCTGTCACAGGTGGAGGGATTGGTGCCGGTGGTAAGGTGGTCTGTTTGGGACTGGGATCCGGCTCGACTGGCAGTCCACCTTCATTTGGCCTCGGGCTCAGACTCGGAGATGCCACTCTGTTTTGATCAGGTGGATTAGCAGAAAGACTGCGCTCTTGACTCCGAGTCGGAGGCGGAGACTGCAATGGATTGCGAACGGAGGAAGGTGTAGAGGACTGAGATGATCAATCAGCCTGCAAGTAGTAGTTCCCTTCAGGGCACGCCACGTACTGGTGACATCTGACTCTTTCGCCAATGTCCCGTCTGAGATCTCGAAGATGGTGACAGAGTGCGCTTTGATGAGGTCCGAGCCGCAGGTGCGGATGAGTTGGACGCAGCACTGGAAGCTGCAGCCAATGTTCTTGCTTGACGGGCTCGGATTACTGAGGCTTGATGTGCAATGTAGTGGGAACAGTCACTGCGATGCTTTGTGCATGGGCCGGATGTCTTGAATGTCTTCGAGCAGTTGGGCGCACCACACGGGAACATGACAAACAGATAAGAGTGAATTGGATAGAGAACACACGCTTGTAGTGTAAACACAGCAGCCACCAGTCGATTCAGACCATGGTCGTAAAGGTAGAGGGACTCCAGAGATCGTTGATCGGGGCCTCTTGTGAATTTCAAAGATTGCCCAATCGCTGGGCCAATCACAAGACACGTTCCACCGCGACTGCGTTTGTTTATTTTGATGTGCTGGCTGAGGGGTATAAGGAGAGAACGCACCAGTAGAACCAGACCTTACTCTCCCCACAATGAGTCCTCGCTCCCGCTCCTGCTCCCGCCCCCAATCACATTCCTGTTCCCGTTCCCAGAGGACTACATTGCACACACGTCGGCCCAGGTCGCGCTCCCATGATTGTAGGTATGATCAACGAAGTTCTCGTAGTCGGTCCCCCCATCCTCGCCACCGCCACAATGACTCAAGTAGCCGCCGACACTCCTCCCCTGTCCATCTTCCATCCTCCTCCTCTCCTTCTCGTTCATCCAGCCCATCCAGCGGTGAGAATTACTGGCGGGCAAAGTACTTTGCCGAGCAAGCAAAGAACGCCGAAAAACCAAGCCGAAGGAAGACAAAGGAGTGAGTGTTTGTCCTGACACGTACAGAGCACTCACCGCAGTCAACAGACGAAGTAGCAAAGCGACTGAAGACACTCCCAGAGGCCTGCGCATGCTTATGGATATCCACCTCGACATTGCAACCCTGGTGGAGACATCGGACGAATATGAGCATGATCGCCAACTGTGTCCTGACTTTGACGAGTACACCGAGGGGTTGTCAGAACAACAGATGGAGGAGCTCGCTGCAGTACGGCCGTAAGCACTCAGCATCGCATTCAGACATGGTCACACACTACTCACCTGGTGTCCAGACTCGAGCGCATCTATCAAGCAAGGAAGATCTTTCGCAAACTCATGCCCGCGTTGGAGAGGAAGATTGTGACCAAGGTAGCTCCTGATCCAAGCCTGTCTGAGAAGGATTTGGAGGCGCTTGCGCAGGCACGTGCGATGGAACTCATCACGCTCTATAAGGTGGTGAGTACCATGACTAGCCTGCTATTGTCAAACACGTACACTGACAAGACCACTGTGAAAGGCAAACAAAGCAGGAAACAATGCCAAGAGTCGCAACGTGGGGACTGCCACGGCCATTCTCGCACAGTGTCTGAATGTCGACCGCGACTGTCCCGAAATCCGTGCCGTAGATCATAGCCCATCCACACAGGACAAAGAGGGACGCACTGTTTGTGGCTATGCTCCAACACTCCGCAAGAAGTCACGCCACAACCGTGGGCTTCAGCACGATATCTGTGGAGGATTGTTGACGAGTATAAAGGATGATTGGGCGGTTGAGAGGTGTGTACTATTTGCACATGTAGCACTTCAGTCATCATCATCACCTCGTGCTTCCATCTACAGTGTTCGCTCGAAGATCCGTGCTTTTGGCGACAAATCCAGCAGCAACAAGAATGACGACTCCGAAATGCCCTCACCTGATGACGACGAAGCTGACAACAAGCAAAGCGATGACGACGACTTTCACTTTCGCCTATTCTATGAATTGTGCAGAGGAGATAGCAGCAACCCGCTCAAGGGCTTTCTGATGAATCGGTATCTGGTACTGGTTCGTAATATGCCACATGTCTGCGCTGTCTGCAAGCCCTGATTCACTCGCTTGAGCAGATCTATAAAGCCATCTTCACCGGACCGTCGTTGGCTGACGTCGAAAACATGGATCCCTTGGACTGCAAGAGCAACGGGCATGGCTCTATGGCCACCATCTTACGTATGAACAACCAGGTGACACCCCGTTCAATTGCCTATGTAGCCGTTCTGGTGCGTGGTCTTCATTGCATGCCCAACAGTCTCTGACCAGCATCAGGCTCACTTCTCCCTGACCAACGCTGTCCAGTGGAAGGACACCTACAACAATGTGTCATATATCGGGCTGTATAACTACATCGTCAACTTCTTCGAGTGCCCTCGACCTGACACACCACATGGACAACATCGCCGGAAACTGCTTGCGTGGTGGACCAAGTGCGTCTCTATCTCTTCTGTTTGCTCATTGTCTGATTATCCCTTGCCAACAGGGAAGTTTTTTACCAATGCAGCGGCTTCCAGTACGTCACACACAGGTGGATCTTCTTGCGGGAAGCCAAATGCGGGTCGCTCTATCGCGAAGATGCGCCAATGCGTTCCCGAGCTCTAATTTATTCATTGTGTATCGAAAACATCCATAATATGATTTGGGATTCAATATTCAATATTCAATTGTGATTTGCCTATTCTAATAGTGAATCATGAGCACGTTCTGAAGTGGTCAGGATGAGTTGAGTCCTCAAGCAATGTGTAGTCGCGACGTAACTGGCAGCGCGGATAGGTGGAGTGTGAGCAGGTGGATTGTACTTACTAAGAGCTCACGAGCGTCCAATGAGTTGATCCACAAAACTGATGAGCGTTTGACAAGCGCGGATCAATTTGAGTGGCGTAAATGAGCGCTCGTGAGGCCCATCAGTCGCATGTCGGCTACCGAGCAATCATCACTGATTGCACGTGCTACCGCCAAATCACAAGCGCTGAGGCGTAGTTGCCTATTTTCCTGATGATGGGGATCACGTCAGCGAATGGCGCTCAGCGTTGTGATGTGTTTGTGCAATCGAGCAGACATAGGCAGTTTTCCGATTGTTTTGCGGCCCTCAGTCTGACCACTGTGCGGTGTGACTGAGGGTACGTGGTCCTCACTTGCAGATCATTATGTTGAGCATACTTACACTTCCTGTAGACTGACCGGGTCACTTGTCTACAGGTATATACAAGTCTTAACACTGTCTGGTGTGACTGAGTAGTGCTGGCCAAAATATGATATGAATACAAAAATTCTGTATCATACTCATATCTGTATCATATTATTCACCAGGGAGGTCTCATATTGTATTTCTAGTTAATCATATTCATATTGAGCCACCATATACAAATATGATATGGATATATTCAAATATATTCTACTTCTCATGAATTTGAATGAAATCAGTGTAATTCACTCCCTATGCAAGTTCAGATCTCAGCCATTCTCTGGTAACAATATCCACAGACACTGATTCTGTGGTCATAGACAACCAAACATCAGACAGGGTGTGGTTCAAGTTTGATAACAGGCTCTCAGCAGAGATACTGATGCCAGGGAAAGCATTTGGCCCAGGGAATTGTTGCAGCGCTCAGATTGAGCAGAGGCAGGAAGATTCTTGATGGCAGTGAGAAGATTTCCCAAGTCCTTGTTGTGTGATGTCAAGGTGGCCACTGTTTTGCCCACAGTGATGGAGAGAGATTTAATTCTCTGTCACCTGACTGTTTACAGAGGTGGTGTTTCTATCTTTGCAACTATGCAGCAGCCTGATCCATTTTTCTCAAGTTGCTAATGAGGTTGCTGGCATGATGGTGTGTATTCCTGATGGCTGATCCTGTTATAATCATATCAACATATATCTGAATACATTGACCACCATATTGCATTTTATTGATATTATATCATATCATATTTGCCTGTATTCTTATTCAGTTGCAAGGTCCAAGGTCATATCATATTCAGCATATTTGAATATATTCGAAATTAAATTTTTGTATGGTATTTTGGCCAGCACTATGACTGAGGACTAACCAGGTCACTTGTCTACAGGGGTCCAGCATGTCAATGGTGTATTGCGCCTTTGGACATGACAGCAGTACAAATACTGTACCAATCAAATGAAATGGATGGTCACGCATCACACCCCCCCTGTCAAAGTCGAAATTTGGTTTGAAGTCACGCATCACAGGCCCACATGTCCAATCCATTTTTCGGTTTGTTAAAATCACTGTTTTTGAGCTCTGGTGGCTTTAAAAACACTCTTTTTGAGCTCTAGAAGCCACCAAAAATTCCTCCATGCCCTCTGAGTGCACTAGACATGTGACAATCAACAAGAAATAATGTCAAAAAGAGAAGTCAATTTGAAGACTGGGGAATTCAACCAAGTAGCTACAGTATTTATACCCAAATCCAGTCTGAGTCATATCTACAACTAATGAGTCATAAGGCTATGTACCGCATGGAGCACTGGTCATGGATTGTAGTGGAACCTTCCGGAGCATATGTTGCGCAGCATTGAATCAATGAAGATAATCCCCAGACCCCTAGCCCAGACCATCAGGTGCCGCGATCCACGATAAGATAATCCATGCCAAGATAAGATAAGATCGTTGATGATAGGATGAAAAAGTGGCCAAACTATGACAACACTTCTTGCTTGGCAGTGCATCAGCAAGTTGTGCTTGGGTTTTGGGGCTTTGGATTTGGCTGTTAGTTAGCAGTGTGTCAACTCAGTATTTTGGATTGCACTAGTTGGCAGTGTGTCAATTTAGTATTTTGGGTCTCATATCGCCATCTAGACACTGTCGCTACAAAGGATCCTAATGTTTTGTATTAAGCTCTGACTTGTGATATTTGTTGGTTGTGATTGGATTAGTGTTGGTTCTGGTTGTATAGGAGATATTGGTTGAAACACCTTTTCTTGCCGTATTAATTCTTGAGCGTGGACTCCATCTTCTGTGACTATTTGACTCCACGGCTTATTGAGAGTTGTGACTCTGGTGCTCTACCCACCCCAAAGCCCTTGCATCTGTCACAGACTCAGAAGCTGATTATGAGGAGTGTGAACATGTTTATATTTGGGTTTGCTTTCATGGTAGATTCACCTGTGAGTGTGCCCTCAGCATCTCACCAACACCACATATCAGAAGTCATTGCTTGTAAGCTGTCAAGACCTTAACAGCCTGTTGTAAGTGTGTCTACACAGAACAATACTCTGATCTGCCACTCATAGAGAACATTGTACTGCCAGAAAAGTTGTTGGATGTGTTAGCTGGCAAGCAGATGAGCAATATTGAGGAGTTGAGCAAGTTGGACTGGTTTTTAGTTGTAGATATGACTCAGACTGGATTTGGGTATAAATACTGTAGCTACTTGGTTTTATTCTCCAGTCTTCAAATTCACTTCTCTTTTCGACTTTGTTTTTGGGTTGATTGTCACATAATTCGAAAGACTCCCCTCATACCCTCCTACCTCATACCTCTTACCACTGCATCCCTCACTGCTACGCCTGCTATATCCTCTTAACCCTTATCAACGAACTCACCCTTTTACCGAAACATCTAGTTGTCCCCTGCAATCACAGTGAAGGGTTTATCTCAAGCAAACAGCACCAGGCCACGGGTAACGTTGAGCCTGACCCAAGCCTTACAATAGCTACAAGGAGTGCTGCCAAGACCTTCGGGAAAACGCACCTCGGGATCATCAGGCACATGAAGAGCTAGGCCCGGGATCTTTTTGCTAGCAAAAGAACCTCTCCTCGAGTGCTTATACAGCACACAAATCCACCATTTTGTACCCATTCCCATCATTGTCTGGGAGCCCATCTCCTCCTCCCATCCTACCATCGTTGCCCGATCTGGCGTATCAAAACCAACCCGGGCCCTCCAATCCCTACCTTGCCCTCCCGCCGCCTGAAGACAAGATCCCTGACCTCAACAAGTTACCCTCTGAAACCACCCTCACCCCCACTTACCACGCCTGCTCCTACCATGTCAGGACACCACCGCATCACCCTTGCCGCCAACCCCCCCTACTTCGATGGGGACAAGTCCAAATATATGGGCTTTGTGGACTTGTGCACCACCTACATTGGTGCCTATTGGTTGAAATTCTTGCTGGATGAGACAGAAATCCTCTTCATCCTATCCTACCTCCACACCGAGGCTGGCACAAGTTGCGCCACCTCAAGATGGGCAATGAACTGGAAACAGCACAACTTCGAAAGCCTTAATGGACTGAAGGCTGGGGTCACCTCGACAACCTTCTTGGAGGAGCTTCAGAGGGCCTTTGGGGATACCAACGCAGAGCAAGTCACCGCTGCTCGACTCTTGGCCCTGCGCCAGAACAAACGATCCTTTGCAGATGATATCTCCGACTTCAAGATGTTGGCAGCAGACACGGGATATGATGTGGTCACCACCACTGACAACAAGGGCAAATACAAGAAAAGGGGATCAGGATAATATCCTGATTGAGTTCCTTGAGCGCAGGCTCAGCAGCAAAATTGCTAGCCGCTTTTACAACACCGGCGTCCCCTTTCCCAAGGCGTACAGAGCCGTCAAGGACTGATGTGTCAACATCAAGGCAAACGCTCTGCGCATACAGCTGTCCAAAGCATTGTATGGGCACTCCACTCCATGCAACAACCACCTCCCCCATTCCACCCTCAGGTTGCCCCAATGATGCCTGCACCCGCTCCGGCCCGACCCGCTGCCAACAAACCGGCTCCGATGGAAATTGATCGCACCCACGCCCGCGGCCGCAATATCATCTGCTACAACTGTCAGCAGCCCAGGCACATCACGCGGAACTGTCCGGAACCAAGGAAGAAGCACATGTTCTTCAATCGGGCCACGATACTTGAAGAGATCAAGAACGGGGACAAGGACAACAAGTTCCTCAAGGAGATCGCCAAGAAGCTGCGCGAGAAGGGTTTTTGAAGCGCTCCACTCCTCTAGCCAAGGAGGTGGAGTGTCTGGACTATGGATGTTTTTCTGTACTTGTTTCGATTAAAGATATGAACGATTCTCCTCATACATACACGATCTCAGACTCATTACATACTAATATTCACGACTTTCTGATTGCTGAGATAGAAAAAGAACGCAAGGAAAAAATAGCTCTAAATAGAAAATACTTACAAGATAAAAAGGATCAGAAGACAGCGGCTGCAGAAAAAATATTTTTGGACTCCTACATATTTATGGCTCATGGAGAAGAAACCACGTCAACAAAGACCAAAAAGGGGAGCGTCGCTCCAAAGGCTCAATCCTTGGAAAAGGAGGAACCGCCTAAGGAATCTGCCAAAATCAAGGTTCCAGAAGCACCCAAATGCACGAGGGTGCCAGATGCTGTCCAGAGGAAATTGGCAGCTGAAAGGCAGAAGGGCCCCCAACCCAGCAGATTGGCGCAGGAATTTCGCAACTATCAAGCAGAGAGGAAGAGGCATTCCATGGATGTGTATGTCCAGATCACAGGCCTGGACTCAGGAAAAACGCGCGGAGTCAAGGTGCTGCTCAATAGTGGCTGCAGTACCTGTTGCATGGATACCCACTATGCACGGGCAGAGAAACTGGATATCCAAGAACTTCCGCAACCCATAGTGGCTTGTAACGCCGACACCACCAAGAACATCAGTGGCCAGATCACGCATTATGTCGACTTGAGGATGAGAATCAGTCCTCATGTGGTGACCCGCACATTTCTCCTGACGTGTCTAGGAAAGGCCCGGATCTTCATTGGTCTTGATTGGCTATGGTGCAGTACACTTAGTCACCGCTACTTTGTAACAACTGTAACTAGTCACGCAATTTTTTAGCTAATTTTTTTTCCTCTTGGGAAATGACTCCTTTTTATGATAGGAATATTTCCTCTAGAGGGATAAGTTATATCTAATTCAACAAAGGAGTTATAATTTTCCGACAACCTCAATTTGGCAATATTGAATAAATATAATATATTACTGGTCAAAAGCCCGCTCAATGGTCTCGGGAATACGCCGATGGGATTTATATTTCCGGGAACTAAATTGACGAACTTCCAACTGCGCTTCACGAGTCTCCAAGCCTTTGCGATATGCATCCATCCATCGAATCATTCGATGCTCCCATCTCCGAATTGTCTCCAGTGATACAGATGCAAGTGCCGCTGGTATATTTTCCTTGAGGGTGTCGAATGTATAATCGCAATGTTCACAGAGATATTTTTTGGTCATTCCCCAGAAGAATTCAATGAAATTCAGTTCACAGTGAAATTTCGGGAGAAAAATACACAGATGGCCCGCAGCTTCAACCGCTTCTTGCACAAGTGATTTCTGCTTCGAAAAGTCTGGCTGCTGGTTGAGTAAACGCTTGCAGCAGCATATCACAGTGATATCACTATTGCACTTGCTCTTGCATTTTCCAGGCAGACGCTGAACATCAAATCCCCGTTCTGCAAGCACAACCTTCAAGCCTTTGGGCTGATCAGGATAAATCCTGTGGTCAGAAGAAAATACCATTGGTTGAATGATCTTGACCCCACCCTGCGTGAACCACCCATCACGCATGTGTGCCTGCTTTCCACCAGGGTTGACGTTCATCCGAGAAACAAGGAGTGCATCCTCTGCATAAACAGAGTGCCCTTGCGAGTGGTCTGTCATGAGAAGCATTTGATAACCAGGACCGTGTCGATCCTCGAATGCACCAATGATCTTGTTTTGAATTTGGTCGATGAAGTGTTCTCCCGTCCAATATCCATCATGATTCTTCCCGTATTCCAGCTGTACTCCGGCCTCTGTGATGTGACCGACAGTCGAACAAATGATATCACTCCGATGGATACCACGACCAGCTCCTTTCTTGCGCAATGCGTGCTGATCTTCAAAAACCCAGCGCCTCTGGGCTGCATCGTTTGCCTGCGCTGTCATCTCATCATGGGAGACCACAACCAGCCGCCGTTCAACAAAGTTTCCATCAGGTAACGGAGGTGCTTCCTGTGCAACATCCCCCACCACATATCGCACTGTACGGCGCGCATACTCCTCCATCGCAGGCAAAAAGATGGTTTGGCGGTAATCGACCACATCTGGGCGGTCATGACCATCAAAATAGAGGCCCTTCTTGTGGGAAATAAACTTGAAGCCCTCCTTAAGGAGCCATCGCCGCGCGGTGATGATCGATACACCCTTATTGCCTGCCTTAAGTTGAATGCGAGGAAAGATTTCCAGCTCCATGTATTTCTTCAAACCACGGGGCATTTCGTCCTCAACAAGGTGTGTGAGATATTTCTCGGCGGCAGCAGGGATGAGTTGTCCCATCGTGAAGGCTCTGAGTTTCTCAGGATCCACTGCCCACTTGTTCGATCGCAAGTACGTCCGCAATTCTGCTTTGATCCCAGGCTCATTGAGAAGCGAATAGACTTTGGCATGCTGGCCCTTCCGTGATATTGGGAGTGTGCGTGTCCGAATCCATTCTCGAGCCCAGAATCTGACGTTTCTCCCACCCCACTTCGAAGCAAAACCGTGACTCTTTGCTGCAACTTCCGAGTCTGCAATCGTAATACGGCCACTCTTTATTGCCATGGAGAGACAGCTTTGGATGGCACGGGCACGGTATTCCTGAAGGCTGTTGCGTCCACCGTCAAAATGGGTTTTTATTGAGTGTATGTGCTTCTTGATATCGGTGTGCGCTTTCGACAAGACTTTGATGTGTTCTGTGCGTTTGTCTGCCTGCGTTTGACGTGCCGGCACAACGAGCTTCCTCCTTTTGAGCGGAGGGGCAATGGGCAATCGATGGGAAGGTGCCGTGCAAGTTCCCTCACTGTCCGCCTCATCCATCTCATCATCTGCCATCCGTTCCTCCTCATCCTCCGACTCTCTGTCTGACAGGTAATCGTTCAGCTCTTCGGCACTCATTTCGGGGACAGCAGGGGCTGATGGCAGTGGGCTCTCGACCGGAGTTGTTTTGGCTGGGGCAGCAGAGGTCACAGAGAACATGGTGCGCATCATCAGGATTTGAGGATCTTTACTGCCAGTGCACAAATGGTGAGTCTGCCGTTTTCTTTTACTGAATGGCGCTTACCTTGTTTTGGCCTCCTTCCTCTTCTTGTCTCGTTGTCGAGCTTCTGCCTCACGGCGGTCTCGAGTCCGTTTCCCGTTCCCGTTGTATCCCAGATTCCGACCCGTCTCAGCAGTCTTCCACTCTTGCGCTGTCCTCTTCTCTTGTATCTGCTCGAACATTGTCTTCTTTCGCCTCTCCAGCGCTTCCATTTCACTCCCCAACTCTTCGGCAAACCACTTTGCATCGTACTCCGAGATTTCGGTGTCTGTGAAGTCTTCGCTGCCATCTCTGGGCACATACTCATCAGCTGAGCTTGTCTCCACCTCGATTCCTCCGTCGTAACCGCAATCCGACTCATCCGTAGCCAGGCTGAGGTCGATGAGCACATCCGGCAGCTCATTTACCGCACGATCACAGCTGCTTCCCGATGTGCTGGGTGTGTTGCGGATTCGTCGTTTGCCAGTCTCTGGTTCTAACACAGGTCGCTTTTGAGGGTGCCGTGCAGCCCGAGCACGGGCTGCAGCAGCTTTTTTGGATTTTTTTGTGGGAGGCATTGCATATGAAAGCAGTAGCGTACAATTTTTGTCTACTCCGGACACCCAATGGGGATGTGTCAGAAAAAAAATCCCTCGGCCAATTTGGCAACTGTTTCAAAGTAGCGGTGACTAAGTGTACTGCACCATAACAGAACACGACCCCAAGGTGGACTGGCAGGAGCAGACAATGAGATTCAGCTGATGGCTGGAATGGTGTCACATGAGGGGTCACAAGGAGTACCAGGCAATGATCAACATGGATGCAATTGACCTGGACACAGGCACACCAGATCTGGAAGAAAGGGAATTGATCTTGTTGGTCGACTATGGGAAGGAGGTGGATCTGCGGCTAAAGGAAACACCGGCGCAGAAGTTTGCAGAAGAAGCGGAGAAGGAGAGAATGACCAAGGGGAAGATTCTGGATCAATACTGGGAATTCATTAAGGTATTTGCCAAGGAATCATTTGACTTGCTGCCAGACCGACGAGCATGGGATCTTGCAATTGAGCTCAAACCCGGTTCCAAAGCAGTGGACTGCAAGGTGTACCGGTTATGTTGAAACGGACAGGTCAAACTCAACAAGTTCTTACAAGAGAACCTGGCCAGCAGTGGATCAGGCCATCAAAATCACCCATTGCATCGGTATTCTTCTTTGTCAAAAAGAAGGATGGCTTGCTACACCCTGTTCAAGATTATCGGAAGCTGAATGAGATGATGATTGTTAGGGGAACCCCTGCTTTTGTCCAATCATCATGGGATCTTGCATGTGACCATGCATGTGCCATCTGTCAGGCATCACATGCTTTGGTCCGGACTTCCCTGCCAAGTGCATCCACATAACACTCCAGCCCGGACCCCCATTGTTCCGACGGTCTGGCTCCCATTGTTCTCCCCGATCCGGCCCCTCATTGTTCCCTGGCCCCATTGTCTGGCGCTTCCATTGTGCTTGGTCATCCATTGTCTTGTAGGCTATATATAGTGGGCCCTGACAAGGAGAGTCCCCAACTTGGTTTCCCTTTGGACTCTCCCTTGTCAGGTTTGCCAAGTCTCCTGTATTAGTTGATCCCTTTATCTGACGCTTTGGACTCTCCCTTGTCAGGACTCTGAGATCGGGCCTCGAGGTTGTCCTTACAACGATCCGAAATTGATACCCGTTGCCGCTGATCTCCAAACTGGTCCATAATCTATGCGGCGCCAAGTTCTTCACCAAGCTTGACATCCGGTGGGGATACAACAACGTACAGATCAAAGAGGGCGACGAGTGGAAGGCCGTGTTCTGCACAAACCGCGGGCTGTATAAGCCCTTGGTTATGTTCTTTGGTCTCCCGAATTCCCTGGCAACCTTTCAAAACATGATGAACAACTCACTCCAAGAACTGATTAATGAGGGTCACGTGGTAGTCTATCTTGACGATATATTGATCTTCACACAAACCTTGAACAAACATCGACGGATCACGAAGCGAGTACTTATATTACTCCAAAAGCACAAGTTATACCTGAAACCCGAAAAGTGCAAGTTTGAATGCACGGAAATCGAATATCTAGGTGTAATTATTGGACACAATTCAATGCGGATGGACCCAGTCAAGATCAAGGGTGTGTTGGAATGGCCTGAACCAAAGAGCGTCAAACAGGTCCAAGCATTCCTGGGGTTAACCAATTTCTATTGACACTTTGTCCAGGGATATGCAGAGGTCGCCAAGCTGTTGACGCAGCTGACAGGGAAGGCAGGATGGTCATGGGGTATGGACAAGCATGCGGCATTTGATGGATTGAAAAAGAGAATCGCGGAGGATGCGGTCTTGGCATTGCCAAATAACACTGGCCAATCTCATCTGGAAGCCGATGCTTTGGAAGGGGCAACAGGATCTGTTTTGAGCCAAAACCAAGATGGCATTTGGCGCCCAATCACGTTCATTTTGCATGCATTGACCAAAACCAAGCGAAATTACAAGATCTACGACAAGGAAATGCTTGCAATCATGCTATCATTGGACAAATGGAGGTAGCTACTCCTGGGGGCCACCAAAACATTCGAGATCTTCACTGATCATCAAAATCTTGAATCCTTCCGGAAACCGCAGAAACTCAACCGATGGCATACACAATGGATCACAGAATTGGCAGAATTCGATTTCATCTTACAACACCAGCCTGGCGCACTCAACCGCAAGGCAGATCTCTTATCATGACAAGCACATCATGATCAGGGCAAGAACAACAACAAGGATGTCACGCTACTGAAGCCCAAGTTCTTCCGATCACAAGAAGTCACATCCAAACGGCAAGATCAGCAGCTAATCAATGAGATTAAGGCCACTCGATCAATTGATGGAAGCATCAAGGCAGCCTTAGAGAAGTCACCCATTGGATGAAAAAAAAGAAGATGGACTCATCACATATCATGGAAAGCTCTATGTACTGAGGGACAAGGAGCTGCGGAACAAAATCACTGGGCTACACCACAACACCCCTTTGGTCGGGCACACTGGGATCAACCAAATGCAGGAGATGGTGGAAAGGAATTACTGGTGGCGTAGGATGAGAAACCAAATTCGGAAGTACATCCAGACGTGCGAGGCGTGCCAACAGACCAAGACAAGAAGAGCGAGGACAGGGACTTTGCACCCACATGCAGTTCCAAATGTGCTGTGGGAAATCATCTCAATGGACCAAATCGGACCCTTGCCGGTCAGTAATGGATATGATGCAATTCATGTGTGGTGTGACACCTTCACCAAAATGATCCATGTCAAACCCATTAGTACTGACATCAGCAGCGAAGGAGTAGCACGGTGTGACAATCAACCCAAAAACAAAGTCGAAAAGAGAAGTGAATTCGAAGACTGGAGAATACAACCAAGTAGCTACGGTATTTATACCCAAATCCAGTCTGAGTCATATCTACAACTAATGAGTCATAGGGCTATGTACCGCATGGAACGCTGGTCATGGGTCGTAGTAGAACCTTCTGGAGCATATGTCGCGCAGCCTCGAATCGATGAAGATAATCCCTGAAACCCCTAGTCCGGACCGTCTGATGCCGTGATCCGTGATAAGATAAGTTGTGCCGAGATAAGATAAGATCGTTGATGATAAGATGAAAAAGTGGCCGAACTATGACATTACCCCCTCTCTAGGGTCGATGTCCTCATCGACCAGGCCAATGGGTAAGAAGACGTTCTCGTAAGGGTCGAAGAGCTGTCGTTGCGGGTATGGAAGGCGCTCGTCCCTGGGCTGGTAGCGATGAATGAGATAGTCCCAGTGTCCAGCTTCGAGCGTTGGCAGGAGGCGAATGCGTGTGTCTGGATTTGATTGTTTCCTCTGCCAGTCTCTCAGGACGTCCTTTGCGTGGGTAAGGTGACGTGATGGTTCCCAGGTGTTCTCGCTGTGCGGCCATCCCTTCCATTTGACCAAGTACTGTTTTCCTCGGCCGACTTTTCGCTCTTTCATGATTTCTTCGACTTCCCACTCCTCTGCTCCTCCGATCATCTTGGCCACGGGTCTCTTCTCTCGGCGATGGGGGGGTGGTTCGTGATAGGGTGTCAACAGTGACTCGTTGAACACCGGGTGTCTTCGGTCCGTGTCCGGCAAATCCAGCTTCCATGCGGCCGCTCCAACCTTCTCCAGTATCTCGTATGGTCCCAATCTCTTGTCGCTCATCTTCTTTGATGGTCTATCCGTCTCGATATTTTCCCCTTCTATGTACACCTTCATCCCAACCTTCAACTCCGGAACTTCTTTTCTTTGTTTATCGTAGTATTTTTTCATTTTTTCTTTTGCTTTTTCCAATGCTGCTTTTGCTTCGTCTTGTATTTCTTTGATTCTTTTTACAAATTCCTCCGCCGACTCGTTCCTCGATTCCATCCGCTGCTCCACTCCCTTCCATGGGTGATATCCGTGATTAGCATAGAACGGCGACATCTTGGTAGACGTGTTCATTTTGTCGTTGTATGCGAACTCCGCCATTCCCAGCCACTCCGACCAGTCCGTCTGATGGTAGTTGACGTAAATGCGGAGATAGTGTTCGATCTCCTGATTCATACGCTCCGTCTGCCCATCCGTGATGGGGTGATATGCGGTCCCCGGATTCATTTCCACGCCCAACATCCGATTTGTTTCCTTCATAAAGCCCTTGATGTATCGAGAGTCCCTGTCAGTGATGATTTTGCGGGGGACCCCGTGATAGCGGAAGATTCGGTCCCTGGTTAATCGTGCCACTCCTTCACTGCTGATGTCAGTACTAATTGGTTCGACATGGATCATTTTGGTGAAGGTGTCACACCACACATGAATTGCGTCATACCCGTTACTGACCGGCAAGGGTCCGATCTGATCCATGGAGATGATTTCCCATGGCGCGTTTGGAACTGCATGCGGGTGCAAACTCCCTGTCCTGGCTCTTCTGGTCTTGGTCCGTTGGCACGCTTCGCACGTCTGGATGTATTTCCGAATTTGGTTTCCCATCCTTGGCCACCAGTAGTTCCTTCCCACCATTTCCTGCGTTCGATTGATCCCAGCGTGTCCGACCAAGGGTGTGTCGTGGTGTAGCCCGATGATCTTGTCTCGCAGTTCCTCGTCTCTTGGTACGTAGAGCTTCCCATGATACGTGATAAGCCCCTCTTCCTTCTTCCATCCGACGAGTGACTTCTCTAAGGCCGCCTTGACGCTTCCATCAATTGATCGAAAGGCCTTGATTTCATCGATTAGCTGCTGATCCTGTCCCTCGAATGTGACTTCTTGTGATCGGAAGAACTTGGGCTTCAGTAGCGTGACGTCCTTGTTGTCGTTCTTGCCCTGATCGTGATCTGCTCGTCGAGACAGGAGGTCCGCCTTGCGGTTGAGTGCGCCGGGTCGGTGTCGTAAGGTGAAATCGAACTCCGCCAACTCCGTGATCCATCGTGCTTGCCGTCGATTGAGCTTCTGCGGCTTCCGAAAGTACTCGAGATTCTGATGATCGGTGAAGATCTCGAACGTTTCCGTGGCCCCCAGCAGTAATTGCCTCCATTCGTCTAACGATAGCATGATGGCGAGCATTTCCTTGTCGTAGATCTCATAATTTCGTTCGGTTTCGGTTAATGCGTGCGAAATAAATGCGATTGGGCGCCAAATGCCGTCTTGGTTTTGGCTCAAAACTGATCCTGTTGCCCCTTCCGAAGCATCGGCTTCCAGACGATATTGGCCAGTGTCATTTGGCAGTGCTAAGACGGCATCCTCCGCGATTCTCTTCTTTAACCCATCAAACGCCGCATGCTCATCCTGTCCCCATGACCATCCAGCCTTCCCTGTCAGCCGCGTCAACGGCTTGGCGACCTCCGCATATCCCCGAACGAAACGTCGATAGAAGTTTGTGAATCCGAGGAAGGCTTGGACTTGTTTGACGCTCTTTGGTTCCGGCCATTCCATCACGCCCTTGATCTTGACAGGGTCCATCCGCATCGAGTTGTGTCCAATGATTACACCCAGGTATTCGATTTCCGTGCGTTCGAACTCGCACTTTTCCGGCTTCAGGTATAATTTGTGCTTTTGGAGCAACTCGAGTACCCGTTTGGTGATTCGTCGATGTTCATCCAGATTTTCTGTGAAGATTAGTATGTCGTCCAGATAAACTACCACATGTCCCTCGTTGATCAGTTCCCGGAGTATGTCGTTCATCATGTTTTGGAAAGTTGCCGGGGAATTTGTGAGACCAAAGAACATAACCAAGGGCTCGTAAAGTCCGCGGTTTGTGCGAAACGCAGCCTTCCACTCATCGCCCTCTTTGATCCGTACGTTGTTGTATCCCCACCGGATGTCTAGCTTGGTGAAGAACTTGGCGCCGCACAGGTTGTGGACCAGTTCGGAAATCAGCGGTAGCGGGTACCGATTTCGGATCGTCATCTCATTCAGCTTCCGGTAATCTTGAACAGGCCGTAGCGAGCCATCCTTCTTCTTGACAAAGAAGAAGGCCGATGCCATGGGTGATTTTGATGGCCTGATTCGTCCGCTGGCTAGGTTCTCTTGTAAGAACTCGTCGAGTTTGACCTGCTCGTTTCTCGATAAGGGGTACACCTTGCAGTCCACTGCTTTGGAGCCTGGTTTGAGCTCGATCGCATGATCCCATGCCCGTCGGTCCGGTAGCGAGTCGAATGATTCCTTGGCGAATACTTTGACGAATTCTCGGTATTGATCTGGAATCTTTCCCTCGGTCATTCTCTCCTTCTCCTTTTCCGCTTCTTCTGCGAATTTCTGCGCCGGCGTTTCCTTCAGCCGTAGGTCTACCTCCTTTCCAAAGTCGATCAACAAGATCGATTCTCCCTCTTCCAGATCCGGTGCACCCGCGTCCAGGTCAATTGCATCCATGTCGATCATCGCTTGGTGCTCCTCGTGACCCCTCATTTGACATTGCTCTGGGCATCGGCTGAATCTCATTGTCTGCTCCTGCCAATCCACCTCGGGGTTGTGTTCCGTCAGCCAATCCAGGCCGATGAAGATCCGGGCTTTTCCCAGACACGTTAGAAGGAACGTGCGTGTCTCCACATGAGGGCCGATTCTCATTCTCAAGTCGACGTAGTGTGTGATCCGACCGCTGATGTTCTCGGTGTTGTCGGCGTTACGAGCCACAATGGGTTGCGGAAGCTCTTGGATATCCAGCTTTTCTGCCCGTGCGTAGTCGGTGTCAATGCAGCAGGTACTGCAGCCACTATCGAGCAGCGCCTTGACTCCACGCGTTTTCCCTGAGTCCAGGCCCGTGATCTGGACATATACGTCCATCGAATGCCTCTTTCTTTCGGCTTGGTAACTGCGCAATTCCTGCGCCAATCTGCTGGGCTGGGGGCCCTTCTGTTTCTCGGTCGCCAATTTCCTCTGGATGGCATCTGGCACCCTGGTGCGTTTGGGTGCTTCTGGAACCTCGATTTTGGCAGATTCCTTGGGCGCTTCCTCCTTTTCCAAGGATCGAGCCTTCGGAGCGATGCTCCCCTTTTCGGTCTTTGTTGACGTGGTTCCTTCTCCACGAGCCATAAATACGTAGGAGTCCAAAAATAATTTATCTGCAGCTTTCTGATCTTTTTTATCTTGTAAGTATTTTCTATTTAGAGCTATCTTTTCCTGGCGTTCTTTTTCCATCTCGGCAATAAGAAAATCGTGAATATTTGTACGTAGTGAGTCTGAGATCGTGTATGTAGATGAAATATTGTCCGTATCTTTAATCGAAACAAGTACAGAAAATCGTCCATAGTCCGGACGCTCCACCTCCTTGGCTAGAGGAGTGGAGCGCTTCAAAAACCCTTCTCGCGCAGCTTCTCGGCAATCTCCTTCAGGAACTCGTTGTCCTTGTCCCCGTTCTCGATTTCTTCCAGCATTGTGGCCCGATTGAAGAACGTGCGCTTCTTCTTGGGCTCCGGGCAGTTCCGCGCAATGTGTCCGGGCTGCTGACAGTTGTAGCAGATGATATTGCGGCCGCGGGCGTGGGTACGATCGATTTCCATCGGAACCGGTTCGTTGGCAGCGGGTCGGGCCGGAGCGGGTGTGGGCGCCACTGGTGCCGTTTGGGGACGGAACTGGGGAGGTGGTTGTTGTGTGGGGTGCCCATACGACGCTTTGCGCAGCTGGTCACGCAGAGCATTGGCTTCGATGTTGATGCACCAGGCTTTGAACGCTCCATAGGCCTTGGGCAGAGGGACACCGGTGTTGTAGAGACGGCTGGCGATCTCGCTGCTGAGTCCGCGCTCCAGGAACTCGATGAGGATATTATCCTGGTCCCCCTTCTTGTATTCGCCTTTGTCGTCGGTGGTGTCGACCACATTGTAGCCTGCATCCGCGGCCAACATCTCAAAGTCGGAGATGTAGTCCGCGAAGGACCGTTTGTTTTGACGCAGGGCCATAAGCCGAGCAGCGGCGACTTGTTCCGCATTGGAGTCCCCGAACGCCCTCTGAAACTCCTCCAGGAAGTTCTTTGATGTGACTCCTGCCTTCAGTCCCTGGAAGCCATCGAAGTTGTGCTGCTTCCAGTTCATCGCCCATCTCGAGGCAGCGCAGCTCGTGCCGTTCTCGTTACGGAGGTAGGAGAGGACAAAGAGGATTTTGGTCTCATCTTGTGAAAACTCCGATCGATAGGCACCAATGTAAGTGGTGCACGCGTCCACAAAGCCCAGGTATTTGGACTTGTCGCCATCGAAGTAGGGGGGGTTGGCGGCGAGGGTGATGCGGTGATGCCCTGACATGGTAGGGGCAGGCGTGTGAGGTGGAGGCGAGGGTGGTTGTTCGGAGGGCAGTTCGTCGAGGTCAGGGATCTTGTCTTCAGGCGGTGGGAGGGCGAGGTAGGGATCGGAGGGCCCGGGTTGGTTTTGATGCGCCAGATCGGGCGACGATGGTACGATGGGGGGAGGGGATGGACTCCCAGACGACGATGGGAATCGGTACGAAATGGTGGATTCGTGTGCTGTACAAGCACTCGAGGAAAGGTTCTTTTGCTAGCAAAAAGATCCCGGGCCTAGCTCTTCACGTGCCCGATGATCCCGAGGTGCGTTTTCCCAAAGGTCTCCGCAGCACTCCTTGTAGCTACCGTAAGGCTTGGGTCGGGCTCAACGTTACCCGTGGCCTGGTGCTGTTTGCTTGATATGAACCCTTCACTGCGATAGTGGAGGACGACTAGATGATTCGGTAAAAGGGTGAGTGGGGTGATAAGGGTTAAGAGGATATAGCGGGCGTAGCGGTGCAAGATGCAGGGTAAGAGGTATGAGGTAGGAGGGTATGAGGGGAGTCTTCGAATTATGTGACAATCAACCCAAAAACAAAGTCGAAAAGAGAAGTGAATTCGAAGACTGGAGAATACAACCAAGTAGCTACGGTATTTATACCCAAATCCAGTCTGAGTCATATCTACAACTAATGAGTCATAGGGCTATGTACCGCATGGAACGCTGGTCATGGGTCGTAGTAGAACCTTCTGGAGCATATGTCGCGCAGCCTCGAATCGATGAAGATAATCCCTGAAACCCCTAGTCCGGACCGTCTGATGCCGTGATCCGTGATAAGATAAGTTGTGCCGAGATAAGATAAGATCGTTGATGATAAGATGAAAAAGTGGCCGAACTATGACACACGGTTGACAAGGGACTGAGTTGTGACGGAAATGTTCTATTAAATCTGATTACTATACAACGCTTACTCAGTACCATGTGTGCAGTTGTATTTGTTTGTAGATGGAAACCGATCGTAGTATAAGTAGTTAGAGGTAGGAAAAAGTAGGACAGTCAATTTAGAGCTGATCCCTGTCTCTCTTGGATTGACGACTCAATTCCCCGTGTGACGGAACTCGTTCAAGACGCTTCCGCCACATATTTTTGACAGTACTAGCTAAACAAATCTTCGCTCTGCTCTGGCCCTTACGGATTGATCTCCCGTGCTCGCCGACTCCGACGAAGAAACACCAATCATAACAAACCAACCCTGTTGATACCATGCAACACCCAACCCAAACCACCCAAACGCCCCCCGGCCGAGTCCTCCATCGCCGAAACTCTCGCGGCGCTGCAATGACCACCAAGGAGCTCACTTCGCGGCCTCCTGGAACAGAGGAGCGCCCCATGACGCCGGAGCGCACCTACACCCATGTTGTGTCCCCGGCCCCGGCCACCCTCCCTAAGCCCGCTGACGCGTCCACAACCATCGGCGGAGACATCGCCAGAACCCCTAACCAGGGGGACCGGCCAGCCCGTGTATACATGGAGAAACTCCCCCAGGGGACGGACAGCCGTACCCACCTCCAAGTGGAGGTCGCAGAGGACAAAGATGGGCCGTGGACGGTGGCAACCGGACGAACGGCTCGTACCCATCGGGAGTCGATTGGTAGCCGTAAATCAAGCCCTGCTGATAGGGTTAGTATAGAAGTAGACCAGGCGCGTGGACAAATAGAGGACATAACCTCCATTGTGGACGAAGCTGCAGCTTCGATGTCGCCTGAGGTGCTACGGCTCATAGCCGACAGATACGCCAGTTTGGCCAGCGCTGTGGAACAGAGGACCCCAGCCCCGAGACCGGAATCCCTGACTGACACTACTCCTGAGTCTAAGGATGAGTCAGAAGCAATCGGTGGAGCAGCGGAAAAATCGGACGCCAAACCGGGGCCCGATGACAGCCCCGACAGCGAGCCAGAGGGCTCGGATGGACACCCCTACCACCTGGGAGAAGCTGAGTGGTCGAAGGAGACTCAGGAACCGGAAACTCCGTTGGCCGGTCCCTCCCGAGATAAGGGAAAGGGCCCTGACCCCGGCAACTGGGGCGGAATAAACATATCCGAAAGCGAGCTGGAATATCAAAGAGATGCCTGGAAAGCATTCGAATTAGCCCATGAGGAGCAGGACAAAGGGAAGCACAGACAAAGCCCAGTGGTGACTCCGGTTGAAAGAGGACACCCACCGGGGGGTAGTGCCCCCTTGTCCAGGGACGCGACTTCCGTGAAGGGCGAGGAGATGGGAGCGGCCGCCAGAGACCAAGGCGTGTTCATGCGCAAGTTCAAGCGAATGAGGGAAAGACTGGCTGAGCTGGAAGAACGAGAGAGTCTGAGGAAGGCATCTCGACCAGCAGCGAGCCCAGTAGAAAGCCCGCGTCTGGCCAGCGCCGAAATATTCACTCCCCCTCGCCCGAAGATTGTTAAAAAGCGGTCGACCTCGAAAACGAAGCCCAATGGCTTTGTAACGAGCATGCTGCGAGGGGTAAGCCTTCAGCCATCTGATGATAGTGGGTCCAGCCCTGACCCTTCCTCTGGAGACTCGGACTCAAAGGGGGGACCCACCGATAGTTCATCTGGTGAATCAGGATCAGAATACGGGTCTTCGGATTCGAGCTCGGATTCGGATAGCTCCGACTCTGACTCTAGTGGCCCTCGCTCCAAGAAGAAGCCTTCCAAGAAGAAAAAGAAGTCGAGCAAGCCAGCCAGGGGAAAGATGTTGGTTAAGCCCAACCCCCCTGCTTGCTACGACGGATCTGAGAACGCCGACCTGTACACCCAGTTCGTGGATGAGTCGAATAGATACTGTGAATTGGGGAACGTACCCAGGGCCCATTGAGTGCCAATAGTCAGATCGTTTTTGGACGGCGATGCCAAGGACTTCTATAATCGGCGTATTCGTGGTCAGGAACACAAGTGGACGCTAAAAAAGATGCTGCGACGGTTGCTGAAGTACTGCTTCTCGCTGGACTATCGCCAGAAGCAGCGCAAGAGACTAAATCGATGTCACCAGAACGGGAAATCAGTAAATAAACACGTACTGGAACTCGAGAGCATACTGCTCCAAATCGGATTGAAGAAAGACCGAGAGCGTGTGGCACTCCTCTGGAACAGCTTCGACGCTGATATCCAGGAAGAGCTCTTCCGATTTGGCCTTGATCCTGAAAAGTCGAGGTGGAAACGAGTGGTGAAGAAAGCTGTCCGAGCCGAGCGATTCCTTAGCCTAGACAGGCGGCGAAAGGGAAAGGCGACGGCAGTTGCTACGACAGGCGTGGGCCCAGGCCAGCACGGCCAGGATCAAGAAGAGAAGCGGAGAAGGTTCTTCCCACGGAAACAGGGCGGCATTATCAAAGCAGCTGCCGCCACAGTGGAACCACCTCGGGAAAGCGGACCAAGACCCGCGGCTCGATACCCGTCCGCCGTTGCCACGGCCTCCCCATTGGGCAAGGCCCAGAACACACCTGACCGACCCTGGGAGCAACGGTTGTCCCCTCAGAAACGAGCTGAGCTGATGGCCCGGGGTGTGTGTTTAAACTGCGAGGAGTCGGGCCATATGGCGCGCAGCTGTCCTAAGCTGACGTCAATGAAGTCTAAGGTAAAGGGGAAACCACCGGGCTTTGGAGCACATGGCGTGAGCCTGCGCACGGCCTCCCTGGGCAAAACCACGGAAGTGTTCGAGGCCTTGAACGTGGCCAGCGCCTCCTGGTTCGAGGTCCGGGATAATGGAGAGGTGCTGGAACAACTGTTGGAGGCATCAGGCCTCGGCTCAAGCGACTGGGAGGAGACTGCGGGAACTGACCACGCGTCCGAGGGTATATCCAGTTGCGGATTGAGCTGCCCAGAGGTCGAGGCCTTGGCGGGGGAGCTCGAGGCGTTGTCTCTGGGACCAGGCCCAAGCACCAAGTGGAAACCGGACCTCGGCCCTATAGACCGATCCGTCAGATTGGTGGGGGAAGCGTCCGAACCCAGTGAGCTCGTGGGAGACTTGGCAGCCCGCTTTGCAAGCATGGTGCTACAGAGATGCGCACCGTTTCCTGGCGACGATGGCTCAGAGCCAACCGAGGGTCGATTCCTGGTATACCGCGTGAAAGGGACGGACTATCATTGCATTCTCGATTGCGGTACGCCACTGAGCATCTTAGAAGGCGACGAGCTAATACCGTCATCTTGTCTAGAGGACGCGGACTTTGAGCTGGGGTGGCACTGGGCACAGAAGTGCTACCTGGCCCAAGGAATACACCCGGATGCCCCCGGTCTATTGTTGCCTGACCGTTATTTCTGTGCGCTAGGCGACTCGATCTTAGCCATGACCCTAATCCTGCTGCAGACTTACGGATGCGAACGGCCAAATGAAGAAGTGGATGCTGAAGATGCGTCTCTCTTTGAAGGGCTTGAGGGTATGGCAGGCATGATAGCCATCCGCCGGAGGGGCAGGCCTGAGCACATACTCATAGCACGAGACGCTTTGAAAGACCATAGTTTTAATCTACGGGAATGGTACATGCGAAATCTGGGAAGTTGGAAGATCACGAATGCGGGTAACACCGTGCCAATGCTGCTCATACCTAAGGCCAAATCAAACCCTCCGTGACTGCGCGTGGTGGTGGATCTACGTGAGCGAAACGCCAATACCAGGAAAATGGCTTCGCCCTTGCCAGATATGGACGGTATACTGAGGCGCGTCGCCAGGTGTGAGTATGGATCTCTCATTGATGGCCAGGATGCCTACGAACAGATCCGCGTGGTCCCGGAACACGTTGAGAGGACGACAATGACCACGCCGGACAGAAACATGGTCAGCCTGGTCCTGCAGCAGGGAGATTGTAACGCACCGGCGACGTACCAGTCTCTAATGAACTACCTTTTCTCCGATTACATAGGCCGCTTCATGGACGTATACCTCGATGACATCATTATATATTCCAAAACGCTAGAAGAGCATAAGAAGCATGTGAGGATGGTAATCAACGTTTTGAAGCGGGAGAAACTATACCTGGGAGAGAACAAGCTTCAATTCTTGAAGCGTGAGCTTAAAGTCTTGGGCCGCGTGATCACAGACGATGGCATTCGGATGGACGCAGAGAAAGTGGACACTGTTCTCAACTGGAAGACGCCGACAAACCGCGACCTGCTGCGAGGGTTTCTAGGGTCAGTCGGTTACTTGGCAGACGACCTGGCGCACGTGCGGGTACCCATGGGAGTGCTCCACGGCCTCACTGGAGATACGGTTCCCTTCCGTTGGAGTTACACCCATCAGCGCGCTTTCGAGGACATTAAGAGAATTGTGACGGACCTAAGACACCATCACCGAGTTCCGTTAGACTACAGAGCCGAGGCGGATCCAATCTTCTTAGTCACGGATGGATGCGCGACAGGCGTGTCCAGAGTAGTCTGTCAGGGCCCAGACTGGAGAAGTGCAAGAGTGGCGGCCTTTTACTCAGCAAAGCTTAACTTGGTGCAACAGAACTACCCCGTCCACGAAATAGAGATGCTGGCGGGGGTGGAATCAATGCTGCACCATAGGGACATCCTGCAAGGGTGTCAATTCCACTGGGTCACGGACCACAAAGGGCTAACTCACCTGCTTAGCCAGCCGAACCTATCCGGGCGGCAAGCGCAATGGGTAGAGAAGATATTGTGTTTCGACTTTGAGATAATGTATGTGCCGGGGCCGGATAACGTTCTGGCGGACGCATTGTCTCGCATATACTCCAATGAGACACCGGGTACAGTGCGCGCTAGATCAGAATACACATACCACGATATCGTGGACAACGACATACTGGACAGCCACAACGTGTCTATGCCCGTGCTGTCGGGACTGGAGGCAATGGCGGTTTTGTCGGACAGAGTTCTGAGGTCGGCGACGCGGGCGGCAGCGGCGGCAGCAAAAGAGTTGATAAATAAGGCACGAGGGCCCACAGGGGCCAAGTCGGCAGCACCCGAACTGCCCAAGGATGAGATTCTCGCCCCGGAGGGCGAGAAGGAGGGCGGGAGTCCACAAGAGAAACAAAGCGGCCAACAGGCCAAGGTGACAAGCGAGGAGCAGGAAGGCAGGACACAGCCACACGTCAATCAATTTGCTCCCATTGATGAACCCGCACTTAATTATGGAAACAACACCACGGATTCATCACTGATCCCGGTGATAGCTCAAGGCAACGATGGCCTAGACCTGGTGGGATTTACGCGCAATCGCTTCCACGAGGATAAGTTTTTTAAAGCTATTGTCAGGGGAACCCCCGCTTCGGACCGCTCTGCCTTTGATCAGGCATGTGATCGCGCTCGCGTGACCTGTCAGCTGTCACGTGCCGCGGCCCGGACTGCCACGCCAAGCGCTTCTCTCTGACGGGCACATGGTCAGCTGTCCCATCGTTCCCACTGTCTCGGTTTCCTATTGTTCTGTCATGGCCATTGTACTTATTGTTCCCATTGTTCTTTGTTTGTTGCTGCGCGGTCTATTGTTCTTGTACCATATAAATAGTGGCGCCTGGCAAGGAGAATCCCCAACACGGTTTCTCTTTGGATTCTCCCTTGCCAGGTATGCCGGTCTTGTACCTAGCTACCACTATTAATCACCTTTGGATTCTCCCTTGCCAGGACTCTGACATCGGGCCTCGAGGTTGCCCTTACAGCAGAAACCGTGTTCCTAGGGATAACCGGACAAGATTGCGAGGTTCGACGCTGACGCCAGTGGAGAAGAGTCGACGAGCGACCAAGACCACCACTCCCTCACCTCCTATCTTGCCCCCTCCTCCCCTCCACAAGCAGACCCGATGAGCATGGAAGACCACGACCAGCAGCGGCTGTCTGCTCTGGAGACCAGCATAACGAATATCGAAGCCGTGCTCACCCGGCTCATCACCCAACAACAACAACCGCCCCCTGCCCCTGCCCCTGCTCCAGCTCCGGCAGCGGGTCCAGGTGTTTCTGCTGGCGCTAACTCTGCGCGCCCCCTCATCCGTCCAAACCCCCCTTTCGTCTTTGATGGGGATCGCACCCTGGGCAAGAGCTTCTTGCACTCCGTGAAGCAGTACTGGCGGCTGCTTCCCGAAGTGTTCTTCGAGAGCGGGGTAGTCTCGGAGGAAAAGGTAGTCCGTTTTGCCCTGTCCTACATGTCCAAGGACTCTGCGGCTTCCTGGTCCGAGCGCATGTCCGAGCGCACCCCGTTCCCCTTCCCCACTTGGACTCTCTTTGTCACCGAGTTCAAGCTCCGATTCGTCGAGGAGAACGAGCAAGACCACGCCCTGGCGCGACTGGAGACCCATCTATATTATATGGGCTCGCGAGATGTGTTCAAGTACACGGACGAGTATGACGACCTCCTTGACCTTGCCGGTTATACCGACAACCTGGTCAAGGTGACCAAATATAGGACAGGGCTGGATCCGAAGATCAACCAGGCCATCACCACCTCTGGCAACCCTCCCAGCCTCACCGACTACGCCGAATGGCGTGTCCGTGCTTTCCGGCAGTACAATGCGGAAATTGCTGCCAAGGCATCTTGGGGGCATGCTGCCCCTCCCCCTCGGGCACCTCCCATCGCCCAACGTCCTCGTGCCCCGGTGCTCCCTGCTGTAGCACCAGCTGTTGCCGCCCGCCCGGCGCCGGCCCCTGTTGCCCACCCTGTTCCCATGGAGGTCGACCGAGCCCGGCTCCGCGGTGATGTCCACCGTACCTGCTTCCGCTGCGGCAGTCCGGGACATCTTGCCCGTGACTGCCCCACCCCAGCTGACATCCGTCATGCTGATGTCCTTGACGAGGTCATCAATCAGCTGGGAAGCGAGTTGCTCTCCGAGTTGGTCGCTCGGGTAGCGACTACTGCAGCTGTCGCAGAACACGCGGCCGATGTTGCGGCTGAGGTGGAGCAGGGTTTTCTCCCCAGCGACGAGTGAGTAGTACGCCCTCGTTCGCTTCACGTAATCGTTTCTCCTGTTTGTATGATGAATCCAATTCCCTCCACTCTGCAACAGTTGAAGCGATAGACGTACACCCTGCTCCCCCTCTAACCCCACGAGTCCGTAAGGAGAAGTGGGAACGCAAGCTCCCTTCCTGCTATGTCGCTGCCGCCTCTCCCGGGGCCAATTCTCTCCACCTCCCCCTCGAGATCAAGTCCACCGACAACGCAGTGAAGTTATCTCTCAAAGGCCTGGTCGATTGTGGTGCCACATCCGACATGTCGGCCGCTCCAAGCGGAACCTGTGACCGGTGAACCGCATCGACTCGGCCTACGTCCTCGAAAATCACCTCCCCGTTCGTCGCCTCACCCAGCCTATCCCCGTTTACAACGTGGACGGCACACCGAACGAGGCCGGTTCCATTCGCGAAGTTGCTGATGTGGTTCTCCATTACCAGGGCCACAGTGAACGCGTGCAGCTTGCTGTCACCCGTTTAGGCAAGCAGCAGCTCATTCTAGGGTACTCCTGGCTCCGGAAGCACAACCCGGAGATCAACTGGGATACCCAGGAGGTAAAGATGAGCTGTTGCCCTTCCGGTTGCTCCACCTGCCGGGAGGAACTTCGCGAAGAACGTCGATCTGCCAGAACCGCGGCCCGGGTGCTTCGCACCATCAGACAAGGTCCGGTTCCATCCATCTGCGCTGTCGACGTTGAGGACCACGAGGACGAAGAGATGCCGGAGCTTTTGCCAGACTCGGACGATTATGACCCTGAAGATGTCGAAGAAGATGACGACTCCTTGGAAGCCGGTGACCGTATCTTTTACACCCGCTTCAACCCTTCTGAAAACATCCGAGCCACCAGCACCGTCTCTCAGCGACTCGCCAAGGCGTTTGCTAAGAACTCTGCACCTCCTCGGGATACCATCCCCGAGTGGGCCCGCGAGTTCGAAGATGTTTTCAGCAAGGAGTCCTTCGACAACCTGCCAGAGCGACGCCCCTGGGATCACGCCATTGAACTGGTTCCCGACGCGAAGCCGACCAACTGTAAGGTCTACCCCATCTCCCCTCTTGAACAGAAGCAACTCGACGAATTCATCGAGGAGGGCATGGCTACTGGCAGGATTCGGCCGTTGAAATCGCCCATGGCATCCCCTGTCTTCTTCGTGAAGAAGAAAGACGGCAGCTTACGGTTTGTCCAAGATTACCGAGCACTGAACGCAATGACAGTGAAGAACCGCTACCCACTCCCCCTGATCAATGATCTCATCAACAAGCTCAAGGGAGCTCGGTTCTTCACCAAACTCGACGTTCGCTGGGGCTTCAACAACGTGCGCATTCGTCAAGGCGACGAGTGGAAGGCAGCGTTTCGGACAAACCGCGGGCTCTTTGAGCCGTTGGTGATGTATTTCGGCCTGACCAATTCCCCCGCAACGTTCCAGACGATGATGAATGACATACTTCAGGACCTCATCCTCTCTGGCGACGTTATGGTGTACCTCGACGACATTCTCATCGCACATTCCGATATCCACCGTCACCGGGAAATCGTGAACGAAGTCCTCCGACGTCTCCGCAAGAACAAGCTCTACCTTCGCGCGGAGAAATGCGAGTTCGAGATGCCGTCGATCGAATACCTTGGGGTGATCATTTCCCACAACCATGTGGAGGTCGCAGGTGTGGCGGAGTGGCCAGCTCCGGCTAACAAGAAGGAAGTGCAGCAGTTCCTCGGCTTCACTAACTTCTACCGGAGGTTCATCCGGGATTTTTCGCACGTTGCCCGTCCTCTCTTCGACCTCACCAAGAAGGACGTGGCATGGACTTGGGGCGCCAACAAGGCAGCTGCGTTTCTTGCGCTGAAGAACGCTGTTACCTCTACCCCAGTCCTGCAGCTCCCGGATGCTTCCAGGTCTTACCGCCTCGAAGCAGACAGTTTGGACTTCGCGACCGGTGCTGTCATCTCGCAGCAGTCCCCCGTGGATGACAAGTGGCATCCGGTTGCCTTCTTCTCGAAGAGTCTTAACGAGGTCCAGCGGAACTACGAAATCCACGACAAGGAGATGCTTGCCATCGTCCGCGCCTTGGAGGAGTGGCGACACTTCCTCGAGGGCGCCGAGCACCCCATTGAGATCTGGACCAACCACAAAAATCTGGAGTACTTCCGGAAGGCCCAGAATCTCAACCGTCGTCAAGCCCGCTGGTCCCTCTATCTGTCTCGCTTCGACTTCACCCTGCACCACCAACCTGGCCGCCTCATGGGCCGCCCGGATGCTCTCTCGTGCCGCCCCGACCACAGAGTCGCTTCGGACAACGCAGACGTCACACTGCTGCGCCCGGAGCTGTTCCATGTCCGGGCCTTAGAGGGTCTCACTGTCTCTGGACCCGAGGCCCCTCTCCTGCGCGACATCCGGGAGGCCCTCGCCGGTACCCCCGACATGGAGGAGCCCATTGTGTTGGCAGCACGTGAGCTCCTCAAGGAACGCGGAGTTCGCTCTGCTCGGGCTGCGGAGTGGCGAAAAGAAGGCGGCCTGCTCTACTTCCGTGGCAAGCTGGTGGTCCCACGCAACAATGACCTCCGCCGACGCATCCTCGAGCAGCACCACGACACCCGCGTCGCAGGGCATGCCGGCCGCTTCAAGACGTTGGAGCTGATCTCTCGGAACTACTGGTGGCCCCAGTTGTCTCGACACGTCGGCCGGTATGTGGCCACCTGCGACCTGTGCTGCCGAACCAAGGCGCTCCGCCAACTCCCAATCGGGGAACTCCATCCCACGGAGGTCCCTTCGGAGCGCTGGGAAGCAGTGTCGGTTGACTTCATTGTGCATCTGCCAGACGCTCACGGGTATGATGCTATCATGGTCGTTGTTGACATGCTTGGGAAGCGCAGCCACTTCATAGAATGCCACACCCGGCTCTCCGGTGAAGGTGCCGCCAGGCTTTTCTACAAGAACGTCTGGCGCCACCATGGGCTGCCGTCTAAGTATGTCTCTGACCGCGGCTCCCAGTTCATAGCAGAGTTCACGCAGGAGCTGTGGAAACTCGTCGGGGTCTCATCGGCAATGTGTACCGCTTGGCATCCACAGACGGACGGCCAGACCGAGCGTGTGAACCAGGAGCTCGAGCAGTTCCTCCGGATCTTCACCAGCTACAACCAGGACGATTGGGACGAGCTGCTTCCCGCTGCAGAGTTTGCCTACAACAACCATATTCACTCATCCACGCAGCAGGTCCCGTTCATGACAGATACCGGTCGACTCCCTCGTATGGGCTTCGAACCGAATGGACTACGCTCAGCTGTGAACGAGTCGGCAAACGACTTCCGCGACCGCATCGCGTCTGGAGTGGCAGAAGCCAAGTCGGCACTGGTGAAGGCAAAGGATGAGTACAAGCAGTACTACGACCGCCGGAGGGTCTCAGCTCCAGACATCAAGGTCGGAGATCGAGTCTGGCTTGACGCTTCTGACATAGCAACAACGCGCCCGTCCCTCAAACTCTCTCACCGACGGCTGGGTCCCTTCAAAGTCACCCAGGTTGTTGGGCGCGGTGCTTACAAGCTTGACCTCCCTCGCCGCCTCTCTGGTCTTCACCCGGTCTTCCCCGTTGTCAAGCTGCAGCTCGTTGAGGACGACCCGTTCCCAACACGCCCGGCTCGCGAGGAGCCGCCACCCGTCATGGGCCAAGGAGCTGGCAAGGAGTGGGAAGTCGAAGAGGTCCTGGACGCCAAGATGCGCTACCGGAGCATTTGGTACTTCGTGCGGTGGAAGGGCTACGATTCGTCGCACGACCAGTGGGTTAAGCACTCTGATATCCTCGCAGAGGACGCTATAGCGGCATTCTACCGCAAACACCCCAACAAGCCACGCATCATTGCCGCCGCCATCTTCGACTCCCTTCCGTTCCAGCACCCCTCTGCCACCATCCGCACGTTGCGTCGAGGCGCCGCAATCCAAGGGGGGGGTGATGTCAGGGGAACCCCCGCTTCAGACCGCTCTGCCTTCGATCAGGCATGTGATCGCGCTCACGTGACCTGTCAGCTGTCACGCGCCGCGGCCCGGACTGCCGCGCCAAGCGCTTCTCTCTGATGGGCACATGGTCAGCTGTCCCATCGTTCCCACTGTCTCGGTTTCCTATTGTTCTCCAATGGCCATTGTACTTATTGTTCCCATTGTTCTTTGTTTGTTGCTGCGCGCTCTATTGTTCTTGTATCATATAAATAGTGGCGCCTGGCAAGGAGAATCCCCAACACGGTTTCTCTTTGGATTCTCCCCTGCCAGGTATGCCGGTCTTGTCACGGTTTCTCTTTGGATTCTCCCTTGCCAGGTATGCCGGAATTGTCATAGTAGAAGTAGAGAATAATAGTGGTAGTGTTTGTTTGAGAGAGGATATGGCAACTACAAGTCACATAGTACACCAACTTGACAGCTGCCCCAAATGACATAGCCGCCTGCATCACATACCATTGGAGTAGCTGGGCGGCATTTGGCAGCTGATTGCAAGCTGTCTAATGACTGCTGCAACACCACCACATTGAGGGCTCCTGCTGCACTAGAGGGATCTCACTGGGATGAGAAGTAGATGAGAGAAACAGCACATTTGAGCAGTTTTGAATGTGATTCCCCACTGACACCAATACTGTATTTTTTCTATTGTTTCTTTATTCGTATTTAGGACAGTGTATAAGTAGTAGATGGATGTACAAGGAGAAACGAAAAACTTTCTCTTCCAGATCAGTATATCTGAGTGACTAAGCTTTATATTTGCTCTCTGCCTTGTTGTTGCATTTTTGTCCCTGCTGTTGTCATTGTGATAATCAACAAGAAATAATGTCGAAAAGAGAACTGAATTCGAAGACTGGGGAATACAACCAAGTAGCTACAGTATTTATACCCAAATCCAGTCTGAGTCATATCTACAACTA